ATGGGCTCATCGCACGACCTTCAAAACGGCAACAGGGGAAACACCCTTTGCACTCACCTATGGGTCTGAAGCGGTTGCCCCAGAGGAGCTGAACTTACCTTCTCTGCGTGTCCAAGCATACAACGACGAGGTCAACCACAGAAAGTTGCTGGATCAGCTGGACATGATAGAGTCAAGAAGAGACACGGCCTTGGAACGCATCCTCAGCGAGAAGACAAAGGTGGCCGCCTCTTACAACAAGAAAGTCAAGCCGCGTCCCCTCGAGGAAGGAGACATGGTCCTCAAACGGGACTTTCAGCGCAAGGAGGAGCACGGAAAGCTAGCAGCCTCTTGGGAATGACCATTCCTCATTGGCGAAAAGACAGGTCCAAGCACCTTTCGGCTGGCTACCATGGAAGGCGACCCCGTCTCAAAAACGTGGAACAGTATGCACCTACGGAGGTACTACTCGGCCGCGGCCTAGGCAATTCTATGTATCACAGTAGCATTTTGACAGGACTGGGTACACACCCGCCTTTGTAACAGTGTATGGTTGGCTGACACAGCAACCCCCTTTTGCTCATGGAATACACTGAAGTTTGCGTCGTTTTCTTTACTCATTTGCGTCGTTTTCTTTGCTCTTCTCCGCAAACAGTTCCACGACTTGAGCACATTTGTTCGATCAGTTGGATCAAAGCAGACAAAGACGGTCCCAGAACCGCACAGCAAAATAAAGATAGACGTTACGACAATAAAAACAACCAACCAACGAGGAATAAACGCCGCCATGCGGCGGTCAACTGAGCCAAAGTTGAGAACAACACAATAACCAAAGGCGCTCTTTCCCCAACGGAAGAACGCCAAAACAAATATTCATCATCCATTGTCTTAACGTCAAACATAGAAGGATTAAGATAAATAAAAGGGCAACCATTCAACGGTTGTGGGAGTTGCCATCATCTTCGGCATCCCCATCGGGAGAACCGCCTTCTCCCGCTTCATCTTCCTTCTCAGAATTCACATCTGCCTCAGACCACGCCCCGATCGCATCCCAGATCTCGTCGGTACTCCAAACCGCAGCAGGCTAATCTTCGCGAAACCAATGGCGAATAGCGGCAACCGCATTCCCAACAATGGTCTTGTACTTCTCATTGTCAATGGCCTCAAACTCAGCAGACTTCAAGTACTTCGGACCAGCTGCAGCACGGACCGCCTCCAACTCTGCTTGATGATTCTTCCTTTCCAACTTCAGCGAATCTATCTCTTTGCGGAGGGAATCTTGTTCTTCCAGCAACAACTTTTCCATCTCACTTGACTTCTTAACATGATCTTGCAACTGGGCTCGCTCCAACTGCACCTTCTTGACCGCTTCCCTTTCCGCAGCTAGGTCTTTCTCCTTGGGAGCCAGCCGCTCCTCGAACTCCCGCTCCACCAGCGGACGGATCTCCCCCATCAAAGCCTCTCGGCCTTCACTTGCACTCTTTTTCAGTTTAGCGATCTCCGCAGCTTGGTCATCCACGATCTTGGACAAGCGGTCGTTGTTCATCAGGATTTGCGAAAAACCAATCTGAGTCTGAAACAGAAAAACCAAGAAATATGAACAAGACCGCCTACGACAACCCGCAAAGATAAAGGCAAACTAAACTTACCGCAAAGAAAAACTGAGTCGCAGTTCCAGCAAGGCGCCTGTTGTCACCGCTGGAAGAGGCTGTGTACTCAGAGGGCATCACGAGTTGGTCGCAGATGGTGTGGAACGCGAGCTCAGCCGCCTCACCATCGGTGGCCGCTTGAAGAGGAAGATCAATCTGACTCAGCTTCATCGACGGAGCCGCTCCCTTACCACGGTTTTCACCCGCCTTGGAACGAGGCGAGCCAGTCCTCGACCGCTTGGGAGCACCAGCGGGAAGGGAGGATTCCAACACCCTTTTGCCCGCAGCCCTGGTAGTCGCCGCAGGCGAAGCCGCTTTTCGGGCGGGAGAAGGCGGAATCGGCTTAACCGCAACTGACGGAGCCTCCGAGGGACCCGCTCCCCGGGGATCAGCTCCCTTCACCACCACTCTCTTCTTCTTCGGGCGAACCGCATCTGCCAAAGCTCTCAGTCCTGCAAAGAAAGAGCATAAGTAAACTCATATGAGCATATGGAAGAAATGCAACAAAGGATGTACGCTACTAACCATAAAAAGCGCGAACATGCTCGTAAGCACTCCCCGAACCGCTGGGAAACACATTCAAATGAAAGCCTTCGACAAGGCGGTCCACATGATCCTTTACTGAGGTAGAAAAACGGGCTGATGAACACCACGAACCCTTTGATCCAACCGCAAAACCAGTGGGCGGAGCGGTCTCTCCGGAGTACCACTGCCCAGTGGGTCGGGCAAAGAAGTACTCCCGATACCAAGGGGAGTCTAACTTAGGCGTCCCAGTCACCAGGCCAACAGTGCGGTCCCGTCTCCCTATTGACCGGCAGTTGGATGTATCTCGAACCTTATACAGTAACCGGAAAGCATCGAAGGAGGGCGTCTCCTTCAAGCGGTTACACGCATACCGATACATGACAGAATGAAAGATGATTGAAGGAGAGAGGCGACCAAGGGTGCACCCTAGCCAGTTTAGGGTTTGGGTCAATATCGGTTCCAGAGGGAACCGCAATCCCAGTTTCACGTGCTCCACGAAGATAGGAATCCAACCTTCGGGACACGACCCTGATCTGCACTCTTTGGTGGGAGCAGCATAATCCCACTCTGAAGGAAGTCCCAGCGCGTTCAGACGATGAAGGACCTGAGCGGGCCTCAAGGCCGCCACGTGTTTTGGACCGCACTCCAACACCCCGTCAGGAATTGGTTGGCTCTCCCACATGCACTCATGACGAAGAATCGTGTAGGTAGCGTCCTGAATCGCCAACCGTGATACCTCCTCTCCTTCGGAGTCTACTACCTCCAGCGACGAGGAGGTACTGGCAACCGCCTCCGATCGCAACCCATCACTACTAATCGTCTCTTCTTCACCTGAGGAACCACTACCTAAATCTATCGCCCCAAACTCCCCTAAGTTATCCCCAACCGCAGAAGAAGTTGCGACAACCCCATCTGGTACAGGCCGCGTGTTAGCAAAAAAGTTATCTAATCCCAAGGATCCCCCAAAAATACAATCGTCTAATTCCGAACCGCTCCCGAAGTACAAGTCCAGACCAGACAGGTCAAACACGCACTCGGAAACGCTTCGATCGGGAGGGGAACAAGTCGTACCTTGTGTAGGAGGAACCGCAATCCCAGAAGCGGCCGACGCTTTCTTGCCCGGCGCAGCAGGAGAAGAACCCGTGGTAGGACGAGGGAGTTCCCCTTCAGGAACAGATGAAGCATGGGGCACAGTCCCCGACACAGCGGCGGAGGAAAGATGAACCGCCGCGATGGGCTCTCCAGTATGAGCGTCGGCGGCAGGCACCCCTCGGCTCGCTTCCTCGATCAGTGGGTCTCGACCTTCAACCGACATCTGCAACAACACGAACAATCCAAATGAGACCCGACGCACGAAAGAGAGCGGCGTCCCGATAGTGGGCAAAGAGCAGAAGAAGGATAAGAAAGGTCACCGCGACCAAACCATGCACAAAGAACTTACCGGAGGAGGAGAGTCGACTTTATAGCGGAATTCGCCGGGAGGCAGAGCTCGGAATTACGTCACAGAGGAGGAAGAAAGAAGAAGACAAGTTTTTCTTGCAAATAGAGCGACAATGGCAGCCAAAAGGGGTCTCAGCGACACTTATAGCAAGGTCCGGAGCCCAAGGTGTCAGAAGTGACGTTCGGGTTGTCTCTGACAACGCACCGCGCCCGAGGCGCGACACGTGGCAACGCCAGCGCCAGGAGCAAAGCGACTTGCGTCTAAACCGCCCCAACAGTCGTTCCCGCTCCAGCTTATCGCGACAAGGGGCAAATGAGTAACCATAACCATGGGCCGCAAGTTACACAACCGCATCAGACGAATAACCATAACCATGGGCCGAACGTTGCAGAACCGCATCAGATGTTAACAGGGTAGCCGCGACAACCCAAAGCTTCTCACGACTAAGGGGCAAATGTTGGGCCTAGTATTGGCATACGTGGGCCTGAAGCCCATGGTTATGAAAGCCCACAAAGACAGGCCAAGACAAGGTCAGTTTAACAATGCCCGACATGGAGACCGCCCGACATTTACGTCATCCATACGTCAGAAACCGCCCGACCAATGGGCTAAAATCCTGCTGTCAGAAGAAGTCTGACATTCGTACTGACAAAGCATATAATAAAGTTAGAGGCGTCCTAGACCGCCTGACACAGCATTAAATGTCTTGATTCTAAGTCCAGGCCAGTATAAATAGCCCCAAAGGGGCAGCATTTATGGTAACTTCGATCAACCGAATTCTCTCTCTATACACACTTATACATTCCCTTCTCTCTCTAACTTAAGCTTCGGAGGAGGTCCCAGGCAACCCCTGAGGACCTTTCGTGCAGGTCTCGGAAGACCGCCTCCCACCTGTCAAGCCGCCAGAGGTCGTGGAGTCTCACATAACCGCCTGGTACATCCCAGGCACAAACAGATTGGTTTCTTACTTATTAATCATAAATCTCTCGCGTACTTTGTGGATGTGAAAATTGCTATACGACACTTATCATTATTCAAAAAATTATGATATTTCACCAAAATTTTTTAGTGATATAGTTTGTAACAAAAGTAATTAATCATATATTCATATTTAATTTAAGGGAAATTAAAATTATTTGTAATGGTCTTATTACCGCCTTGTCCAGTTGTCCTAAGGTGGGCCGGATATTATCTTTATCTGGATGCCAGCCCGGCGGCGCCCACTGTTTCCGCCCTCAGTAACCGCTCTGTGCTTTTCTCCAAACGGAGATTATACGGCCAGCCCATTGAAGCAGTTCCTTCGCTCGTGTCTCGAATCGTGTGCCTGTCCTGCAATGGTTCACATTAGCACTACACCGTCTCTATTCCTACCTTGCGCCGTTTAGAACATGTCAGTCAAAGCCTCCACAAACCCCCAATTCCCAATCTCCTCCCTCTCTCTTAAATTTTAGGGCTGGCTTTTTGAAGAAAGGCAACAGAACCCAGTCACCCCGGTGCTTCTTCTAGCGGTTACAGCAGGTTCTGTTCATAAGTATCTCTGCACTATTCGTACTTCGTCAATTCCTGCATCTTATTGTGGTTCTGAGTCCTTCCGAAACAGAGAAACCCACCGTGCAATCTCTTTTAATTCAGTCCCCCCTGAGTCTAGGGTTTTGATGAACAATTGTCTGACTTCTGGGGAGTCATGTGTCTGAGATTATCTGCTTTCTTTGGCTAATGTGAATCGTTCTTGAGATGGGTAACGTGGAAGTACCGAAATGGCTGCAAGGGTTGCCATGGGCGCCCGAGTTTCGGCCCACTGATACGGAATTTGCCGACCCAATCGCGTATATATCCAAAATTGAGAAGGAAGCTGGCGCCTTTGGGATATGCAAGATTGTGCCACCGCTGCCCAAGCCTTCGAAGAAATATGTGTTCTCTAATTTGAATAAGTCTCTGGCCAAATCCCCTGAATTGGGCGATGATGTTGCCTTGTCAAACATTGGTTCTTCTTCGAAGTTGGGTTCTGAGGATGGTGTTAGGGATGGAGATACGAGGGCAGTGTTTACGACTAGGCATCAAGAACTAGGACAGAGTATCAAGAAGAGAAGCGGTGAAAAAGATAATCCGCATTTGGTTTCCCATAAACAAGTGTGGCAAAGTGGGGAAGCCTATACATTGGAACAGTTTGAATCCAAGTCGAAGGCTTTTGCAAAGAGTGTGCTGGGTTCAATCAAGGAGGTTAATCCTTTAGTCATAGAGGCCCTGTTCTGGAAAGCAGCTTCTGAGAAACCTATCTATGTGGAATATGCAAATGATGTGCCTGGGTCAGCTTTTGGAGAACCTGAGGGTCAGTTTCGGTATTTCAATCGTCGGAGAAGGAGACGGGCATCATACCAGTCCTATCGAAGACATGGGGAAAGCTACAATTGCAGGAATAATAAAATGGTTGATTCTGATAATGCTATAGCTGATAATGTGGCGGATGCTCCTAGTAAGAATGACTCAAGTGCATTGTCGTCTGCTGCTTCAACAACTTCGCTTTCATCTGAATTTGTGAGATCTGATAACCGAAAGGGTGAAATTGCTAGTTGCGATGTGGAAGGCACAGCTGGGTGGAAACTTTCCAACAGTCCTTGGAATCTTCAAATGATTGCTCGTTCACCTGGGTCTCTTACACGTTATATGCCGGATGATATCCCAGGGGTTACTTCTCCTATGATTTATATTGGTATGCTATACAGTTGGTTTGCTTGGCATGTTGAGGATCACGAGCTTCACAGCATAAACTTTCTCCATATTGGCTCTCCAAAAACATGGTATTCTGTTCCTGGAGATTATGCTTTTGCTTTTGAGGAGGTTATCCAAAGACAGGCTTATGGTGGTCATGTGGATCGCTTAGGTATGTCCTTTCACTATTCCGAATCTGTCATGCTGCTAATGCTAACTAGTTCTGTCGTTTTTCATCCATGGTCCTGTTTGTTGATACGTGTATACTGTTGGTAAGTAGTGGGTTGTGCTTTAAGTTGTTGGAATTCAGTTCAACATTTTCCTTCTACTGATTAATTCGATTTCAAGAGCTTATCTTTGAGAAGCCATTCTGTTGAGTTGTTTAGAAGAATTTAAAGATATAAATTATTTTCTATAACTACTGCAGCTGGTATTCTCCATAAGCAAGAGCACTAGTCTTTGGCCCTCCTTGATTGTATATCATACACGTTTTCTGTCTTATTGATGTACGAGTTGTGCAAAATGGCACCTAGATCATCTTGGAACCCTTCTTATCTGCACATAATATCTGCCTACATGTTATAGAGTGCTTGATTCCTGCTTCAGGACTTATGAATGAAAACAAAGACATGTTCGTTATGCTTACCATGCTTTTCATCCTAGGGACCAAATGAATCTAGTGGCATGAGATATGACACATTTGAGCTATTCTTAATCTTGATGTGGATTTTTAATGCTGTGCCAGTTTATTCAGGACTCATGACTGAAAACAAAGACATGTTTGTTATACTTACCATGCTTTTCATCCTAGGGACCAAGTGAATGTAGTGTCATGAGATATGGACCATATGAGCTATTCTTAATCTTGATGTCAATTTTTAATGCTGTGCCAGTTTATTTTCTTGCCAGCTGCTCTGTCACTGTTGGGCGAAAAGACAACCCTTCTGTCACCCGAGTTAGTTGTTTCATCCGGCATTCCTTGTTGTAGGTGGGTGTTATTTCCTATCCTCTTCCTTCGTTTTCATCTTCTTTCTTTTAACATTTAGTTCTTCGGTTTTTCTCAGTTAAATTCTGCTTTGTCGTTTTTGTTGCCAACAATTGAAGTAATGTGTTTCATGTACCAGTAGCTCTAAGATGGATTTGCGTCTCTACTGCCTGTCTGATGTTGGTTGTGCTTATGTTTGTTCTGATGTTCCTCTAGGTTAATACAGAACCCCGGTGAATTTGTTGTCACTTTTCCAAGGGCTTATCATGTAGGATTCAGCCACGGTAATATTTACGAATTTTTTGTGTTTTCTCATGCAAGTATGCTTGTCCAAACTGGATTTTGATGAAATATATGGTTTCTGGTACTGTAGTAAATGGTTGGATGACCATATTCCTTTGATTTGGATCGATGATAAATTCAAGAGAGAAAAGGAGGGGGGAGTTTATCTGTTGGGTATGAAGCACCTGGTGATAAATTGGTCACTCATCATGGAAAATGAATTTGGCTTTGTGTCTTGGGTTGATAATATTGATGTGATAGTAATATTGATTGGGGAGTAGCTGCCTCATTCTATATGTAAATACGAGGTCCTTTCTGCCAAATCTTACATGTCGTCCTTTGCCCGTAACTACCATTAAGAGGCAAACGGATCAGGTGGAATTGCTTATACAACCAATATTTCTTAATTGTGATGCTTTTCTGAAACCATGCTGTAAAGAGAGCGACTGAATCTGTTGCAATTTTTTTCCTTTCCCATGGATATTGGCTATCTATTTATCTTGTTCATACTTCTGGTGAACCTTGTTTTAAATTGTCTATGATCATGATATGTTGCTTCCTATAAATGTTCATAGGTTTTAACTGTGGAGAAGCGGCTAATTTTAGCACTCCCCAATGGCTGGAAGTAGCTAAGGAAGCTGCAGTCCGTAGAGCCGCCATGAATTATCTTCCAATGCTTTCCCATCAGCAACTGCTATACCTGTTGACCATGTCTTTTGTTTCGAGGTTAGCAGCTGATCCAAAGAACTTCATCTGTTGATTTTGGTGCTTTGTCATGAACATTTCTCTACTTTGGCTTTACTGATCCTTAGAAATATCGTTCCATGATGCTAACGTTACGCAAAGCTTTTAGTCAAAGTAGTTCAGCAGTAGTATGGACTTGTAAGTTCAGCTGTTTAGTATAGCTATCCTCCTTTTCCTCTGTTATGTTATAATTTGGCAGGGAGGATCAGCGTTAACTTCATTCAGAAACTTAAATGAACCATGAAAGCTAGTTATAAAGATAAGAAATTACATCCAAAGCTAAAAGCAATGCTGTGTGGTTGCTGGTCGGTGAATACATGGAGGAGAAATTCTGGGTTAACATCTTTGGTAGTCGCATTGTCCTTGGCATTTTTCAAAGGTCACTGTTCAATTTTTTCTCTCTATATTCTGTGATTTTTTTGGTGTCAGAGTCCCAAGATCCCTCCTCCCTGGTGCTCGGAGTTCTCGCCTAAGAGATCGCCAAAAGGAAGAAAGAGAGGTGGCTGTGAAAAGGGCTTTTATAGAAGATATGCTACGAGAGAATAAAACTTCACGTACTATTCTCAGAAAGGATCCAGACTGTAAGGTTGTGATATGGAATCCTGATTTGCTACCTCGTGCGATGAAAGAGTCTCAGGTGACTGGTATAACTTGTGCTACTGCTCCCGCACTGGAAGAAAATCTCTCCCAGACTCAGTTAGAACCTGACAGGGAAAATACAAAAAGTGATCTAGTTAAGGAGATGAGCAAGTATGTGGAGAGTTTGAATGCTTTATATGCTGATGGAGGTGATATATCATGTGATTTTCAAGTCGATTCAGGGTCATTGGTTTGTGTGGCTTGTGGAATCCTTGGTTTCCCGTTCATGTGTGTGTTACAACCATCTGAGCGAGCATCAGAAGAGCTATTGCATGTGGATAATAATACTTCAACCGGCAATGGCAAAGCAACAGTCAGAATTGCTCATTCTTCTGGAGATCGTTTTGGTACTTTTTATCTCTTTGTTTCTGTTATAACTTGGTTTCTCTCTATTTCTTGCATTTAGAGTTATGTCAACAGATTGAGAAAAACTTGTTGCAAAAGCTGTGTCATTCCCCACCCTGAACGGTTTTTTTTTTTATGTAAAAGATCCAAGAATAGAAGAACAGATCCTGACCCTTAATGCTCTCTCTCTCTCTGTTTATAGGTCTCACATTTTGTATGTTAATCGGGTGCAAGCTGCATTTCACGATGTTATGCAATAGGTTTAAGCATTTTATGCACTCGACCTGGTGTTTCTTATTGTCAACCAACCTGGTATTCTAGCATTTGTAAATTGGCTGGTCAAAATCTGATTTCCTTGTAATCAACAAATGATACTTATTACTTAAAGCATCTGTGCATAATCCACTCCTACGCTAATGGTTGTTTCATCATGATGTAACAAGGTATACATGGTTATATAGAAATATTTAACATGGAACTGATTAGATTTTCTCATATATGTCGTGTTATGGATAACATTGCAACACTCAAGTAGGGGTTCCCTGTTTATCCTTAATATATGAGAAATCTAGACATGGTGGGCCGAATTGACTGACGCTGCTTATGCTTTATACTTGTCAGACGATCCTCTTCATATGTCTGATCCGTGTTCAGCTCTAAAAGATCTTCATTTGCCTAGAGGGTGGGATACTTCCAATAGATTTCACAGACCCCGAATTTTCTGCCTGGAGCATGGTCTTCAAACTCGCGAGCTGTTGCAGTCTAAAGGTGGTGCAAACATGCTTCTCATATGCCATTCAGGTCAGTTTTGTTTTTGACGAACTTTCATTACGTTGTTCAACAGATCAAAGTATGCTTGGGTGCAGTTTACATAATGTTTACAAGTCCTTATGGTAGTTATTTTTATAGATTTTCAGAAAATGAAGGCCTATGCTACTTCTATTGCGGAGGAGATCAATATTCATTTTGATTACAGAGAGGTACCATTGGAAAGTGCTTTGAAGGAAGATCTGAACTTGATTGATTTTGCAATAGACGGTCAAGCCTGGGAGGAATGTGGGGAGGACTGGACATCCAAAATGTGTGTCAACTTACGCCACTGTGTGAAGATCAGGAAAAAATCTCCATCTAAGCAAGTCCAGCATGCACTGGCTTTAGCAGGACTGTTTTCTGATGGAAGTCCCAATTCCGAGTTTTCTACTCTCAAGTGGCAATTCAGAAGATCTAGGTCAAGAACTAAGCCAAATCATTCTGCCGGTTTTTCAAGTGGAAAGTTTGAATCCAACAAAGATGACGTGCTGGAGAAAGTTTCAGAGAGCGTGACTAATAAAGAAGAAACTGTACTAGTTTACACAAGGCGGAAGTTTAAGACCAAAGAAACTTGTACCATAAATGGTGCTCAAGGTCAACGAGACCTCAATCTGCAAAGCTGCAATGTATCTTTAAAGAATAAAACTGGGGCATCTGAAGATGGTTCAGGAGACGGGGGTGCAGAGAAGCTAAACGAGTTTCAGTTTCTTGAAGCTAATGCTCAGATGCAACAGGACACCAATGATACTAATGGAAGCAGTGAGAGTGAGAATCCGTGTTCCATAGATGGTCCCAATTCTAGTGTGCAAGCAGCTAACGTACTGTTGGTGATACATAAGGATGATAGAACCGAAGATGTGATCACTTGTGATAATGCTACGAAGCTGAAAGTCCAGGTGGATGAAGATGTTGTTCTAGTCAGTGAGGCATCTGATATTGCTAGCTCACCTTCAGCCCAAGAGGAACATGTAGTTGTGGAGACTTCTTGCACAAATGGTGAAGCTTGTGATCATGTGACATTGAAGAGTGGAAAAACTGAAGAAGGCCAAAATATGTCTAGTAGCATCTGTTCTATTTTATCTGATGAGACAGTGGCGATGGAGTCTATTACTTCAGTCGGAGAAGCTTCTTGTGATCAACTACAAGTTGAAACAAACAGTGATAGTAAAAGGGAGCTATCTGCGACTACTTTAAATGTCGCTGAGCAGACAGCCTCAGTTAGGAGCTTTGGATCATTTGATGTTAAGGTCAGAAAGAGAAGAAGAGAAGTTGACCAGTTAACAGATGACAGTCCCAATCCAAAGAGCTTTGTTAGAGGTCCGTGTGAAGGGTTGAGGCCCAGAAGAATGGGGATAATAGATGCGACCACAAGCAATAGTGAAGCTACTGATACGGAGAAATCAGCTGTGGAGAATAATGCAGTAGCAAAGAGGGCGAAGAAATATCCGGATGTTTCAGTTACCAATCCGAAGAAGAAGAAGAAAGAGATGACGAAGAGACCTCACAAGTGTGATATAGAAGGTTGCGGGATGAGGTTCGAGACCAAAGCAGAGCTAGTGCTGCACAGTCGAAATCAATGCCCATACGAAGGGTGCAGGAAGAAATTTAGCTGTCACAGGTACGCACTCATCCATCAACGAGTTCACGAGGACGATAGACCACTGAAATGTCCATGGAAGGGTTGCAAGATGTCGTTTAAGTGGGCATGGGCAAGGATTGAGCACATAAGGGTGCACACAGGCGAGAAGCCGTACCAGTGCAAGGTTGAGGGCTGCGGGCTTCGTTTCAGGTTCGTGTCGGATTTCAGCCGGCATAGGAGGAAAACTGGTCATTATTTTGTGGACACGCCTGACTGATAATCTGCTTTGATTCTCTGTTGTATCATGTGTGGATGATGGCTGGTAAACTAAGCTTTTGAGTACGGGAGAGCTTGGGAAATCATGTAAAATACATGTAGTTGTATATGGGGTTTTAGAAGCTGACTGATCATTTTGTAGGAAGGCAATTCCCCTGATTGTTGGAATTCATAAATATGGTTCTGCAGCCCCAATTCTTTTGACTCTGCAATATCTTCCAATCAGGAACATTGTTCTCTAGACGGATGCGGTGATATATTAGGAAAAACATTTCCAGGTCAGAGTTGGAGTTGTTTAAAGTTGAAACCCATTTTTCATTTCCAATTTCACACCCTTCCACTGCATGTTAAGGTTTTCCATCTCCACTCAGTTTCGCGGTTTTTGGATACTCATGGATAATCCGAGTTTTGTGTAGACGCAAAGACAGTGGCTGCCAGTTCTGTTCCAATTACACAAAAAATGAACAATGGTCATCATGAATGCCACATAGGATTACGATACGAAATTCTGCTGATGCTGGCTTCAGTTATTGTACACGTCAAGGTCTAATCGGCAAGCAAAGCAACCCTTCCACTCCACGTCAATCCATTTCTTCAGGAAACCCTAATCAGCCTGCCTGCCTGCATGGCCGGGTCACCATTTGGTTAAGAGTTGTTCATCGTCCTTCTCAAACTCCAGCTAGCTTCCCACTTCTGCAACCAACTAAACTAAACCATATATATGCATAGAATTTGTTTATTATTGAGAAAGATTCCCGGCTTGGTTTTCCTACCAAGCAAGATTCCGAATACGACGTAGCCAATCAATGAAGCTTTCTTCTTCATCAACTAATGCCCTCTAGCTCCCTTGCAGCAAAAGCATCAATCTCTGTCGTTTCGTCCATTCATTCCCCTGCATATGCATTAGTAAAAAAATCTTGCGTAGAAAACCCCCTCAAAAGAAGAAGAAAAAACTTGAGCAAACAAAAGCGATTCACAAGTTTTATTATTCTCCCTGCAGCCTTGAAATATAAAACACCAGATAGCTAATAGAACAGCACGTTTTTGCTCTTCTGAATGGCTTTTAAACCTGGAAGACTCCATTTCCCTTCCTAGTAAAAAAAACCCTGCATATTGATCGCCATAGTAAACTTAAATAAGTGGCTTTCCCCAGGAAAGGAAAATCGTACTTACTGTAACTGGTATATGTGCAAACTGATTTGTCTGTGCTTGCTGCCATAAACGTGACTTGGGTTAGCTATCTGTGACGTGCAAGCAAAGAGGTTAGAGAGGGGGTACTCTAAGTATGGGCTAAGAAAGTCTTTGGTTTTCATATCAAAGCTGTACCCGCAAGCCTATCCCATAAAACACCTTGTAATGGAAGAGATCATAACCCGCAATCAGTCATGTCCCTTTTATTTAAGCTTTTCTTCATCTTCTTCTTCTTCCAAAATATACCCTTTATATATTGGAATACCAACCGTTATTCCCAACTCTCCAGCTTTACAGTAGAAACTCCTGCAAAAAAAAAAAAAAAGAGGTGTTTTTTTTTTATCTCTTTGTCCTCCTTGCTACGTGTCAGCGATCAAAAGCATATGTGGGCTTCACCATGGCTACTGCAGTGTGTCACCAGGTCATCATACTGACTCTCATAACTATTCTTCATGCTGTCAGCTGCTCAGAATCAATAAGCAGAGCTCATTTCCCTGATGGCTTCATTTTTGGGACAGCATCCTCTGCTTATCAGGTCCATTTCCTGGCTATTTCTCATCTCAATACTACTTTCTGTAAGAAGAGCAAGTACTTGATCAGATTCTCTATTTCAGTTTGAAGGAGCTGCAACAGAGGGCAACAAAGGAGCAAGCATATGGGATACCTTCACACAAAAGCCAGGTAAATTGATGATGATCGCGTTTCAACCAGACATTCAGAATGCTGGTTAATTTTGGACCAGAAAAAGGGAACTTACCTTCCAACCTCTTTTCTCTTTGATGTGTTTCCTGGCAGCTGGAAGAATTTTGGATTTCAGCAATGCTGATGTTACAGTTGATCAATACCACAGGTTTCAGGTAAACTATTTTCTTGTCCACTGTTCCTGATCAATCCTTTTCTCCTTTGCTTCAGAGGCAAAAAAGAGTACGAGAACCCTTAATAAGTAGACATATGATGATTATGCTTGCTTTTTGGGAGGTGAAACGTAATTTTAAAATGTCAAAGTCTTGATGATCAAACAGTACTCCGAAAGGGCATGTTTACAACTAAACAGGCACCGGCCAAAGACTAGGGACAAAGAAAAAAAGAAACAAGTGAATCAGGGAGTTACAGGATAGGAATCTTAAACAAAAGAGACCACATGTCCCACATATATAATATTATCACGACACATGAGAGATGATGCTGAGGATGTGTCACCGTCACCGTCCTAGAATAAAATTGCCAATGAAGACAAAAGACATGCATATTATGCATAAAGTATATTCGTCAAGACTTAGAATTTCAACCAAGAGATGGCGAATATGGTAAACATAATAATAATTTAACAATAATGACAAAGTTGTGAATTTTGCGTGTTCTGCAGGATGATATAGGGTTGATGAAAGATATGGGAATGGATGCCTACAGATTCTCCATCTCGTGGGCAAGAATCTTCCCAAGTAAGTTGTGGAAAGTAAACAATGCAGAAATGTGCTATGTGTCTGCAACTGACTGCTTTTGCAAACTTATTGCAACAGATGGAACAGGGGAACTCAATCCAGAAGGCATAAGTTACTACAACGACCTCATTGATGGATTACTAGAAAACGGTTGGTTTTTTATTATGGCATTCCGATAAGATGGCTTCTTAAGACTTCTTCTTCTGCAAAGAGCTGAAAAATCTGAGTTTTAAATCAGGAATCCAACCTTATGTGACTCTATATCACTGGGATCTTCCGCAGATGCTTCATGACAAGTATGGAGGATGGTTGAGCAAGCAGATTGTGTAAGTATATATTTTATATTCTAGCAAGGAAGTAGAATAAGTACAGTTGATATAAAAGACTACCAAACAAAATGTGACAAGAGAGAAGAGTTGCGTTACTTTTACAGAGAGGACTTTGAGCATTATGCGTACACCTGCTTCCATGCTTTTGGGGACAGAGTGAAGAATTGGATAACCTTCAACGAGCCTCACAATTTCGCCATACAAAGCTATGATTTCGGTATTCAAGCACCTGGGAGGTGCTCCATTATTGGCCATCTGTTCTGCAAGGAAGGAAATTCATCATCAGAACCCTACATTGTAGCCCACCACATCCTCTTGTCACATGCAGCTGCTTACCATAGCTACAAATCACATTTCAAGGTAATCCCAGCCAGCATCTCAATCACATAGATTCTTGATAATTTTCTGTGTCAGAATATAGACTCATGGATTCTGCCCCCTGGATTTTCCAGGAGAAACAAGGAGGTCGAGTTGGGATAGCACTAGATGCCAAATGGTTTGAACCATTATCTGATGCTGACGAGGACATAGATGCTGCAAATAGAGCGATGGACTTTTCACTTGGATGGTAATTGAAACACTCTTTTCCATTGTGATATATATGAGTAGAAATAGAAATTTGCTGCATGAACTTGGTTAACATAAGTACATTATGAATCTGCAGGTTCCTTGATCCAATTTTCATGGGTAGATACCCACTTTCGATGACAAAGCTTGCTGGCGAAAGAGTACCTGAGATCTCCTCAAAGATGGCAAAACTCGTTATGGGGTCACTAGACTTTGTTGGGCTCAACCATTATACGACATCTTACGTTCGAAATGATAGAACGAGGTTCCGGAAGCTGATATTGCAAGATGCTTCAACTGATTCTGCAGTCATCACTTCCTGTAAGAATAACTAAGTCTCCATAGTCAAATTGATGAAACAACGAACCTGATCATAATTAATGATCTTGTGGCTCTTTTGCTTTGTAGCTTACCGCAATGGTATCGCCATAGGCAAAAAAGTAAGCCAATCCCCATTTCAAAGTTTTTTAACCCAGCCGAATTTGCCTGCATATTATCAGGGATTGAGTAATGGATTCAATGTGATGTACTTACTACTCGCCAGCTCTGGCTCATCTTTTGCAGGCAGCTTCCAGTTGGCTGAGGATCGTCCCATGGGGCATCCGTAAGTTGATGAATTATGTAAAAGACAAGTACGGAAACCCACTTGTGATCATAACAGAGAATGGTACGTAAGCTTTTCTTTTTCATCTCAAAACAGTGGGTTCTAAAGATTCAAACTTTAAAAAATTTGTGATGCATAATCAATTCTGCAGGAATGGATGATCTCAATAGCCCATTCATATCTAGAGACAAGGCGTTGCAGGACGAGAAAAGAATAAAGTACCACAGAGACTATCTCTCCAACCTGTTGGCATCCATAAGGTAAAACAACACTATGAGGCATTTTCTCAAACACCTGGTGCGCTACCCATATCATTCTTCAATCAACAAACTTTGAATTCAGAAAAAAACTCATGGTGCAGGGAAGATGGATGCAATGTAGGAGGGTATTTCGTATGGTCCTTGCTAGACAATTGGGAATGGAACTCAGGGTACACCGTTCGGTTCGGGCTATACTATGTCGATTACAACAATAATCTCACAAGAATACCTAAGGATTCTGTTAAATGGTTCAAAAGTATGCTGCTGAGATCAGAAAGTACTGAATTGGATACCCAATATGTAAAATTGCACATACCCGAAACCAACCTCTCACATAGTGCAGGCTGAAACAGAGATTCCAAATCCTGACCCAGTTAGGATTTTGAGCTCTTCCTTCTTTTGTGAATACTTTTATTAGCTCCACTTTAGAGTTTAGACTCACATACCTGTGTAGAGATCCACCTGAAAATCCTTCATCCCCAAACAGTGGAAACAGAAGCAAAATTGACGTTGAACACCATCAGAGAAGCTCTTGTTGCATCGTTCACTGCTGGAAAAGATTGTCGTTGCACTCTAGTTATTTGCCGTTCATCTTTCATTTTTCTTTTCTCGGTAGACAAATTCTTAAGGGCAGAAATGATCAAATGATATTTCCACGGCGATCACTCTTTCATCTGGCAAAAGCTACAGGGCGGAGATGGCGGTGGCGAAGGCGGTTTAATCAAACTGTGATTGAGACCAACAACTTCTCCCTGAGATCATCAGTTTCTAGTATCCACCTGCCTGAAGACACACTCGAGCCCATCCAAGGCAACAAGCTCAGAGATCATGCCTGTCCGACTCTCCAAGTTGCAGAATGTTGTAAAGCGGAAAGGCAGAACTGTAAAGCAGAGGACTAGAAGGCAAATAGAGAAAGAAGAAGACGACGAGCAGCAATTGGGGATTGCTTCTTCCGGCACGGCTCCTCAATCAGAAAAACGTGTCCAACACAGCAGCAGCACAACGCAGCACAGCTACAAATCCCTACAACAACAACAAACCAGGTGGCAGCGATGAAAAGAAGTCAGGTGGCGGGAACCAACGCTCCTCTCCAGCGGGAACCAACGTTCAATTCCAGGGGAATCACCAGTCACCTCTTCCCTTGACTCTAGTGTCTATTTATTTAAATACCACCATTGTTTTTAATCAGCAGCTTCCATATCCCACGCTCTACCTCCCTCATCTCTCTGAAGTCATCTTTTCCAGATTATCCGTGTCCCTTTTTGGCTCATCCCCAGCATAACAGTCAACACCACCATCCTCAGGCTATGGAAAATGAACTCAGAAGGTAACTCCCGTCCGTGGAAAGAAGAGTCGATACTCGGACATCGATCATGGTACAACAAGACAAACAAAACCACCGCATCTCCAACAGATCGCCGGAATCCATCCAACATCTCCGATGACCGCCGCCAACTGCAAACCACAATCAATACATTAATTGTTAGAAATAATGCAGTCTTACCGTTAAGCGGTTACAGAGTAATAGACTCTAAAACGGCTCTTGCCGGAAAAGCCTTAATTGGGCTTTCAAATCGTCTAATTAATGACGAGTTAGAGCTATTTAGAGCTCCAAAAAACAGAGATATATGTGGTCTCTGCATCAGTCATAATGAAAGGAGAAAAGTTAGGGGAAATCCAAACTAAAGCACAATCAAAGGGCACATTAAAGGCTGGCTACTACAATCCAAACTCAATTTAATGAGCAGTAAACCAGCTTGTACCGGAAAAGCAATAAATTTGTTCTTAAAAAACCATTGTCCTTTTGGAAACGAGCTTCTCTTAAGCCATCAATTCAGAATCCACAGCCTAACCTCGGCAGACAAGAGGCAAATGGCAATTCAAACACCTCTTAATGATCAATCATCATCTAAACGTTTCAAATTGGGTGAATAATGGGATCATTGCTAGCATAAGTTCAGGCACTAATCCGCCTATCATTAAGTGCTACAACCATCTAAAAGCTTTCTTTTTATACCCAACGGATACAGAGATTCATTGATAACTGGGTACCGGGGGATGAACCCTTAATCCCGAGTACACGATCCCACATTCAAAATGGATCTCCTATGGTATCCTACTTTATAAAAGAAGGTCAAGGGGAATGAGACGTTCCAATGCTCCAAAATTGTTTTGAATCTCAGTCTGTTGATATCATAAGGAGAATTCCTCTCCCTCGTTACTCACAGCAAGACATTAGAGTGTGGCATTATTCCAAAGATGGAAAATACACAGTCAAATCGGGTTATCACTTAGCTTTGGAAATAATATTAGCATTAAGTCGAAAACCGATAGTGCATATCATCGACCCTCCTATTTGGAAAAAGACTTGGAACATCCAAGTTCCGCCTAAACTCAAATTCTTCATATGGCAATGCCTCAAAGTCATACTCTCCACAGTAGTGACCCTTCAATCTCGTGGAGTAAACTGCCTTAACCGATGCCCTGTCTACTGGAGACATCGAGAAAGTATCGAACATTTATTTTTCAGATGCCCCCTAGCCATCAGATTGTGGTCTTTAGTGGGATTGAGCAACTTTATTGAGACCGCCCAGACTGTTAATTTTAGTCTATGGTGGCGACATGTCATGGTCTCCGAGACCTCCCCATTCCACATTCTCCAAGGCGTTTGTTTACTTTGGAGAATCTGGAAGTCTAGAAATGAAGTGACCTTTGAATTTACCCAACCCCATGTCCGTTCCTTAGCCAGACAGTTCTTCATCCAGGTCCTCGAAATTTCCAGTCTCCTTACCCCTCCTCCCCGCAGCTCTCTACTCCCAAACTTTTCAGCCACCTATTGGGTCCCTCCACCAGAAGGCTATTTGAAGATCAACGTCGACGCAGTTGTTAGCGCCTCCGGGTGTTCGACTGGGCTTGTTATCCATGGCTCAGACGGGCATGTTAGGTTGGCGATCGGGTTGCAGCATCAAGGAATAGTCAACCCTTATCTGGCTGAACTTCAAGCTTTCAGGGATGCTATCTCCTTTGCAGCTTCAAGATACTTGTCCCACGTGATAGTCGAAGGCGACTCCGATGTGGTGGTCAACCAAGTCCGTCAAGGCGTCTTAGAAGATCGATTGGAGGTCCGATGTTACGAGAGTGTATCCAAATCCTTAGCTCTTTGTCTGTTTGTATAGAGTTTAGGGCGGTACCTAGATCCGCCAACAGTGCTGCCCATAGAGTGGCGCGTAAAGCACTGCTTTTGTCTCTTGTAGAGCTAGAATCTTTTGATTTCTTGGGGGTGGCTTCGGTAGACCCTTTTAGGGGTCCTGGGTAGAATTGTAAGTTTAACTATTATTTCTCATTGATATCACTCAGAAATAAAAAAAAAAAAGAAGCAAAATTGACGTTTCACTGTACATTCATTACTGAGGAACAAGAGAAGTTGTTAGAGAGAGCCTCATAAGATTATTTTCTTCCTTTCTCTTTCGTCCATGGCTTCCTTTGTACAAATTTATGGTGAACGATCTGAGAATTTGTATATGATAATTAATTGGGATTAGAAATTTTAAATTCTAAATTATTGATGTGGATGTAACCTGTATTTGGTTTCTGTCTAAATTATTTATTTGAAATTTGAAATTTATATGAGTGGGAGTTTTTTTGAACTTCATCATAACATTTAGATTATATTTATCTGTGTAGAAATCATTGTTATAAGCATCGAATCGAATCAGCTGGTCAGTAGAAACGACAAACCAGTTATGATAATTGATAGCGATCCAGTCCAATGCTTAGACAGTTATTGATGAAGTTCAAATAATAGAAGAGAAATTAGAAAGAAAAAAGAATAAGACCTCACCCCATAACCTCCCAGCAAACCCCTACTAGAAAAGCCAACCCAAGAAATCAAAAAAATCTAGTTCTAAAAGAGATAACAATAGGGCTTTTTATGTCACTCTATGGGCAATCCAGTTGCCGACTCGAGGAACCGAACTGAAAACAACACAACAAGAACTAGAAGAAACCAGTTGCCGACACTCCCAGAGAATTGGACCACCAACCGAATCGGACACCACTCCAATTTGAAGCTAATGAACTACCACTTCCACATCACCTTACAGAATGACTTAGAGCAGACGATAAGAGGAGACAATAAAAACATCTCTAGCACCAAGGAACTTCGCGGTGTTAAGTATAAGAAACCCCATGGTGGAGAAAGCCAAGAGTTAGGAGGACGACCCCATCCGGCTCACGAACCACCAGACTAGAAGCACACCTAGTATCAACAACAACACCATCAAAATTAACCGTGAGGAATTAGCCAGGAGGAGCAACCCAATGAGCAGACAAAGAGGACGACATGAGGAGAACAAGGACCAACATGACAAACAAAACAATGACAAATTCATTGACTTGAAAGAAAAATTGATGGTCTAACAAAACGACATGTGGTTGAATGAACTCAAACACCACTTTATTACAATATTTCCAAATTCTTTACAATAAGCACACACATTAGAGAATTTGGTATTGGGAGTACTCACACTCACACAGTATAACAATTTGCCACTATAAACTAAAAATTTATAGTTGGGACGGAGTTGAGGAGATCAATTAGACCCACTAGTAACCATAAACATATGGACAATAGGCATTTAAAGAGCAAATGTTCAATAATCTCTCGATGACACCAACACATAGGATACCGAGTCAGATACCGGGCTCCTCGGGCCTTTAGAGCAACAATCGTGGGTAACAAGGTTATTAATATGGATTAGACCATTGGCCCGGTCAGAGGACTTGTTGGCGGGTTAATGGTTCAATCAGAGATTGACCCGTTTATAAAAGAAAATTATGATTTTATGCTACTTAAATAATTGGGGGACCGATTCAGCAATTGCGCTATGTATTTGTTTTTTTTAATTAAACTAGGGTTACGGGCGTGAGACAACACAATCACAAGGCAACTGTTGGTGGCAAGGTTGTCAACCCGCGGGTTGACCCGGACCCGGTCGAGTTAGTGGGTCAAGGGTTAATGGGTCAACCGTTTTAGCCCGGTTTGGCCCGGAAATATTGAAAAAGTCATTATATTGTACTTATCCTCATAAATTATATCAAATCTTATCTAACATATGAGTTATAACATATAATATTACACCAAAATAACATATCGTACTTAGATACAAAATATAGTGAAAATTCACACACACTTATATAACATAAATATTCAAATGTTCAACTTAGTATTCCAAAGATTGAGTTAGGCGAATAGAAAAATTGGAAAATAGGCGCATTTCGCAAACTAAAGAAAAAAATGACACAATTTGACCTCCAACCCAGAATCTAATAGCGGTCGGCCCGGCGGGTCCGTACGGCCCGGTTTTCTCACCGGGTCAGGGTCAAATTGGGTCGACCCGTGGGTCAACCCGCGGGTTGACAACCTTGGTTGGTGGGCAGAAATGCAGTGGATAATGGATTAATGGCAGTCAAATCAACTTGTCAGGGAATCTGGTTCCTTCCCAGCCAACCATGGTACATGGTCAAATCGCAATTAAAGTCACAGTTAAATTGTTTGTATTTTGTACTAATTATTGTAAACGCAAATACTTAATGCGATATACATACTTTTTAATATTAATGATATTGTTTGATTGTCGAGTTTCTAATTTACGAACTAATTTATATAAAACTATGCTTTAAGGTAAATGCCACACTGATCCTTTGCTTTTAATATAAAATATGAAAATTACTAAACATATATAAATGAAAAAAAAATCTAAAACCAACAATTATAACTATTTCAAGTTTTAGTTCAGACAAATATAAATCATATTTTGTACTAAAATCTAATTTAATTGTTGTTCAGCAATTTCCTATTATTAAAATTACCTACTGATTTTGGACCAATATTCGATATTTTCGATCCGACCAACCAATACAATAAAGTTCTAAAACATAGCATAATACTGTATCACTGCGTTTTTTCTACATAATTTCCGATATCATTTTGGCATTCCTGTTAAAAACACTACCAAATCATACGTTACAAAAGTATAAACATTTTAGTCCTAAATTCCTAATCTATGGTCCATTTTCCGGGTAGACCCGACCCGAGCGCAGCTGATTACACAGTCTCGCCTCTCTCTCTCTCTCTCTCTGGAAATATACAGCAGCCTCGCTTTCACCTGAAAACAATACAGGTACGTCACGCTCACTATTCTGCCCGTCATCACTACGCCAATAGCTTTCTCTCTCTCTCTCTCTCTCTCTCTCTCTCTAACCTCTCATTTCCCCTTTCTTGCATTACTCTCAGCTGAGAAATAGCAACGACGAGAGAGGAGAGGGGAGGGGAGGGGAGGGGAGGGAGGAAAGCAGGCGGGAGTATCGAGCAGTTAAGGCTTCAGAAGGAGACCGATAAAAGGAGCCCTCACTCTTTGCTTCCATCTTTGACCGCTCCACTCTCCGGTAATTCCCTCCGTCCAAATTCCTGTTGCTGAGTAAGAATAGGACCCGTTCTCTCTCTCTGTTTGCTGTTTGAGAAACAATGTGGGGTTTCTTCTTTCTGTTTCTGAACCAATTTTGTATTGCGCTCGCGATGCTTCGATTCATGATTAGATACTCTAGTTTTGCTTTGCCAGATTCCACAGTTTAGTTAACCGTAGTATGTTGCGGCGGCACCCACATGGATGATGAAATGCATGTATGTCAGAGAGGGAATTTAGGGTTCATCTAGGGTTTTATGGGGGGGTTTCTCTGAAGGGGATAATGAGTCTATTTGTGTTCGATATTAGCTTTGCTCGTTGATGGTGCATTTCTTTTTTCCTCAATCGGAATTGAGGCGTGTGATTCTGTTTTTTCGACTTGTCAATAGTTTGAGCTATGAGTCAATCTTCTGAGGAAGAGTCGGACATCAGCGAGTCAGAGATTAATGATTATGTGGACAAACCATACGAGAAGCTGCAATCTCAGGCTTACAAAGTTCAGGTCCATGGGACTTTGAAATGCCCCTTCTGTGCTGGGAAGAAAAAGCAAGGATACAAGTACAAGGAGTTGCTTCAACACGCCTCGGGAGTGGGCAAGGGTGCTGCCAGTAGAAGCGGGAAGCAAAAAGCTAACCACCTTGCCTTGGCAAAGTACTTGGAAATTGATTTAGCTGATCTGGCTGATGAGACGCTGACTCGACCTTTACCTCAAGTCACCAATCCATCTTCGGACCAAGAGGACAAGTTTGCATGGCCGTGGATGGGAATTGTGATGAACATGTCTGCTGTGACATCAGCGGATTCCCAAGGACAAGAAGAAAATGACTACTGGTCAAGAACTTTTGCCAAGTACAAACCTGCAAAAGTGCATGTTTTGTGGAATGAGAATCACCAGGCTAGTCAAGCTGTACTGCATTTTGACAGTGATTGGAATGGTTTCACAAAAGCAACCGATTTTGAAAAGGCGTTTGAAAGTCATCGTCATGGTAAGAAGGATTGGAAGGCACGCGAAAATGATCCCGGGTCAAGTTTCTATGGCTGGTGTGCACGTAGTGACGACTATAATTCGGATGGACCGGTAGGGGAGTATCTCCGGAAAGAAACAAAGCTGACTACAATCTCTGGCATTGTTCAAGAAACCAATCAAAACAGAAATACAGTGGTTGCTGGCCTGACAGAAGAAATTGCCAAGACCAATCAAGATCTTGATAAATTACAGAGTATGTACAATGAGAATGCAATGACTTTAAGCAGAACACTGGAAGAGAAAGACAAGTTGCATAATGCTTTTGTTGAAGGTTCGTTTCCTACTCTTTTGAGGTTATGCCCGCTGCCATTTCACATTACTATATCTGTCTGTAAACTTTTTCTGCTAGGTCTTTTACTTGTTTGTTTGCTATTTTTCCATTTCCAGTTTGTTACTGTGCTGCATGAATCCTAGAATTCAAACTGAATTCAGAAACTGGGTGCGGTTTTTTTGTTGTTCTCCTGCTATTTATGATCATTACTGAGAATGTAGTAGCAGATTATGATGTTGCTTCATTCAGTTGTTCAGCTTTAGATTATAATTGTTTAAAGATCATCAATTATGTTGGTTCAATATTTTGCTTTTAATTGGTAAACAGAAACAAGGAAGATGCAGCGGGTTGCACGAGACAATGTTCACAGAATCTTGGCTGAGCAGGAAAGAATGAACAATGAATTGGAGTTGAGGAAAAAGAAAATTGATAACTGGACTAAAGAATTGAATAAGCGAGAAGCATTAACAGACCGTGAGAGGCAAAGGCTTGATGAGGACATGAAGAAGGTAACAGTTCCTAACAGATTGTTTTTTTTTTATAATGGTGAATTTGAATATCCTAACAGATTGTGAAGTGGAAAAGCTGGACTTTGAATATCCTGCCCTGGGATGATGCTTAATGCTCAATATTAACATTTTTGTTGGGTGTTTTAGAATGATGTTGTAAACAACTCGCTCAATTTGGCATCAATGGAGCAGAAGAAGGCTGATGAGAATGTTCTAAGACTGGTTGAAGAGCAAAAGGTAATTTCTCACATTGTGGTCTGGCTTATGGCTATTCGGCACTTGTTACACTTAATTACTTTTTCCCGATGGTGGTTTACAAATGTTCAGAGGGAAAAAGAGGAGGCCTTAAATAAGATCATTCAGTTGGAGAAGCAGCTTGATGCAAAACAGAAGCTTGAAATGGAAATTCAGGAGCTAAAGGGGAAACTAAACGTGATGAAGCATCTTGAGGATCAGGATGATGCAGCTGTTAAGAAAACCATGAAAGAGTATCATGATGAGTTGGAGCAGAAAATAGAGGATCTGAATAGTGTAGAGACTCTTAATCAAACTCTCATTGTGAAAGAGCGTCAAAGCAATGATGAGCTGCAAGAAGCACGGAAGCTGCTCATAGAGGTCTGTTTCTCTGTCCCTTAAATTTTGAGAGACAATTTTGCAGATATTAAGCACAAGGGTATCAGTCTAATGCACTGTACACCGTAAAATCAGTGTTTTTCCTTTGTGTCTCTATTTCCCTGTTGATATTGAGAGACAATTTTTCTTTTCTTTTATTTTCTTTTCATCGAGGTTGGGGGGAAGGTAATGAGTTGAAGACTCTGGTTATTTACTTGCTGCCTGATTTTCCATGCTGGCCACTGTTAATGGATTCCCATCATATTGTTGAACGGTTACTTGGATTAATGCGGTTGTCTGCTAATTGACTTTGTAGGGCCTGTGTGATACCTTATCTGATAAGGCTCGCACCATCATTGGGATAAAGAGGATGGGCGAACTGGATGAAAAGGCTTTCTATAATGCATGCAAAAAGAAATATCCGCCCGGAGATGCTGAGGTCACTGCTGCAACACTATGCAGCTCCTGGCAGGAGAATCTGAAAGATTCTGAATGGTACCCCTTTAAAGTCATTATTGTCGATGGGACCGAGAAGGTGAAAAAATCTCTTCTTTTTCTCTTTGTCAGAGACAAGAACCTTTGTAATCATGAGAAATGTGCAAGCATAACACGATATCTGCTACAGGGAATTGTGAATGATGAAGATGAAAAATTGAAAGGTCTCCGGCAGGAGCATGGCGAGGAGATATACTCAGCTGTGGTTACTGCCCTGAAGGAATTGAATGAGTATAATCCAAGTGGGAGGTATATTATTCGTGAGCTCTGGAATTACAAAGAAGAACGCAAAGCCACTCTGAAAGAGGTCATTGCCTACATCATGAAACAAATCAAGACCCTAAAGCGCAAGAGGTGATGGCTGAGGGACCATACCTTCCTGGGTGCGTACTTCGTAAGTTCCTTTGCTAGATCATTGATTGATTTTATAAACATAATGAATCTGAACCATGCTGCACAGTACCAAATACAAAGCCACCAAAAATGATTAGGTGTCGCAGTAAAAGACTAACCTACTATTATACCTTATTTGGGAACTTGCTGTGCTTTACATTAGAGTTATATAAGTGGGTTATAGTGAAAAATGAAGCGTGGTCGCTTCTCTATAGTTTAGAAATGAAATCCTTGAAGTAGAATATGAACCTTAGGGAAGCCTTCCGAGTTCTTGTTTGTCTCCAGTTTGTTCTCACTCTCTTTGTATAATTGCTTAGCAGTTTAAAGAAGCCTTCTAATCATGATTATAGCCTTCCTATTCACAGTGTGGAGGGTATTCAAGAAGGTGTAGCCGCTTTTGAAGAGGACGATGGATGCCAAGATATTGACCCCAGGGCTGCTGCGAAACCGTGGAGCTTGGTTATGTGGTTAGAGTGTTGGTTCAGCTGAATGCCTCTTCTGATTTATGACCTCTTGACGACATTTGTGAAGGTTTCGTTTCAAGACTTCCTCGTAGAGCTGGATTTTAATTAATGGCGCCCACATTGGTGCAACCTCCTGTCCTGATCCCTTTAGGGGTAATTCAATGGAGATTCGTATAACGTGAAAACGTTGGGTTTTAACTTTTCTGACTCGTTGAGATGTTTCTTTATTGTCGTTGGGTCGTTGAGAGACTCGGATTAACCTTCGTCTTTGGTTGGTGGTGGAGTTGCTGAACCGGAGAATGGTGGGTGGTGCCAGATTTTATTTGCAAACATCGAGAACCGGCCATCTGCCTAACTCGCTAACTCAGACCGGCATCGGTGACTTAGAGTCAAACAACTGGTAAATATAAATGGGTAGGTTGAGAGAGGTTTCTCGATATTTCTAACTGTTGACAGGTTGACTACATGTCAGGTAATTTATTATGGGGTCAAACCATATGAATATGTGATTTAAACTATAACATGATTTATGTAGTTAAACTATGATAAAAATTGAGATTCTCACTTACCTACAATTTCACTAGGCTTAGCTTTGCTGTCGCTAAGGGAGTGGGAGTGGGAGTCTAGCTTGTATCTAGGTTGCCCACTAATTTCTTGTAGACCTTTTCAATTTGTTATACGACAATGGGTTTTTATAAATGAATTGGGCTAATTGCACTAAAAAGTCCAAACTATACTAAAAGTGTCATTTGTGTTCGTATGAGAAATCTAGCACAAACTATATGTGTTTCGTGACATTTATGTTCTAAACTATTCAATATGACAAATATGGCACAAACCACACAAAATGATGACTAGATTTTCTAGTAAGTACTAACGGTCAACGCCAGACAACATTAACGGGAAAATAGTTCGTGCCAGATTTGTCATATTGAATAATTTACGACACAAATGACACTTTTTGAATAGTTTGGGCTTTCTAGTGGAATTCGTCCTAAATAATTTGATTAAAATTGCACGTGATTTAGGCAAAATGGGTTGAGAATGAGGCGTATTAGGACAAATCAGATCGAGAGGAGGTTCCATGCTCGAAACCCAAAACAAATCAATTAAGTCGGACAAAACAAGTCGGGTCAAAATTATCAAGTATCATATTCAATATATCTACGAGTATACCCTTTTTGAGTTTACAACGCCATAATTTGGTTTTGCAAGAGAAAATGATGGATTCATATTTCCTAGATAATAAAACTATTGTACTCCAACATCAATGCAACCATGATTGATTAGTTAAGCAAAGTATACGCATATAAAATCAAAACAAAGACAACCCTTCCTTTTCACACAAAATTAAGAAAAGGGAAGAGGCCGGCAGGGTTCAATTCATTTCATTTTCCCCTGCAAACAATTAGCAATTACTCTAATCAGGCTAATTAATTAACAATATTCAACATAAAATGAAAATGAAAGAGCAGCAACCGGCCTGGTGCTAAACGTACACTAAAAAAAATTATGTAGCTATTTACTTGATCAATCAATCAACCGACACCGCGCACGCCGGTGTCGGTCCGGCAAACGGGGCAGTCGGAGTGCTGGAACAGCCACGCGTCGATACATCCGGCGTGGTAAATGTGCAGGCACTCCGGCAGCACACGGACGGCCTCCCCGACCGCGAACTGCGCCAAACACACCGCGCACGTGCCATAATCCTCCGTCTTGGCGACCGTGCCGACGTCGTCGCTGTACTGGCACGTGGGGATGAGGTGGTCCACCGACGTGTACTGCTGCTCCAGGCTGTTGCTGCTGGCGTCGTTGAAGTTCATGACCGTGCGGAGCGGGAGTACCGGCGGAATTTGGGCCGGCGCTCGGTCGGCGTCGACTTCCCGCGTGGTGGTGGAGTTGTAATTACACCAGAGGTAGACCCAGAGGCGGTAGACTAGGAGGCCGGCGGTGGCTGTTATGACCACGACGACGGCGATTGTGAGGGCGGGGAGGCCGAACAGCCGCTGGCCGCCGGTTGGCATTGGTACGGATCGGAGATGTTGTTGATTCTTGTAATCTAATTTTTTTTTTTTCTGGAAGTGTGGAGTCGAGTTTCGCTAAGCTAGGTTGAGGTTGATTTGAATAGTGAGGACTTTGGAGTAAATGTGTGTTATATCAATGTAATTGAGAAATTATAATACTAAGTGGGGATTGCGACGTGAAAACGATTTTTGTTTGAGAGGGGGTTTATTTTTCCAAATAATGGCAAGGAAAATATAGTTAGAAATCCAGCTAGTTGTCTAGTGACGAACATATTTGTATACGAAGGGGAACATTTTATTAAAGAAATTGGGTTTTGTACATTAACTACAAGCAACTAGTTGAAATTATAATTAGGTTGAATCAATATGTTGATGGACTGCAGTCATTGAACCTCAATTTCCAAACCAACTGAAAATCGGTATAATTATATATGTAAACTAAACTCTGATGTTCATCAACCAATTAGTACGAATAAATTGAGTTCTTGAGAGTTTATGTATGAATCTTATGAGAATGTTTGTAAGAGAAATTCAAACGGATCAATTAAACCAAACTGTACCATTTTGAAACAATTTGACTCAATCGACCTATTTGGCATAACATATTTTGGACGAAATCTGAGGAATTTCAGATTGACTCATTTTGATCAATCTATCCGTTTGGCATATTTTTTTTTGAACGAAACGAAATTTGAGGAATTTCGAATTGACTTATTTTGAGAAAATTATAATTGCATGAGGTGAGTATATATATATTTTTTTTTGCCTGAGATGAATAATTGAAAACGACTTATTTTTTTTAAAATGACACGTTTTACCATTTATCCATCCAAAAAAGCACTATATGATTTGCTTACATGGTTCCATATGAATTTAATTGAATTTTCATTCCATCTTATGAGATCAAGTAATTAACACGTAATGGAAAGTCGGACGGCCCTTATAGGAAAGAATTGAAGAAACCCAGCCCAAAACAAATTCTGACCCACAAAAGGACTACTAACAGAAGAAACTTAGCCCGGCCCAGACGGCCAGACTAAGAAAACCCAGATCCATGATGGCCCAGCTGTCAGTTGAATTTATATATCGTTATTCTCTCTGCAAGTATTTATTCTTCCAATGAATGAGAGAGACTGTTTTAAAATCCCCTCGCCGCAGCAAAGTACTGTTCAAACTTCAAAGCAACAACACAGCCCTTTCTCTCGTCCATTCCCTTTCTTCCTCTCAGTTGCTCTAGAAACCCCTAACTCCACTACTCTGCCACTGAGAAATGGCCGCCGCAGCACCTCCGCCGCCGCCAACCCCGACTCCCACGCCGCCCACTGGCCTGCCGCAGTCCGATTCCACCGCCCCATTCGGCCATACCCTCTTCTCCCGCATCAGGCTGGCTACCCCGGCCGACGTCCCCCACATCCACAAACTCATCCACCAAATGGCCGTCTTCGAGAAGCTCACCCACATCTTCTCCGCCACCGAATCCGACCTCTCCTCCACCCTCTTCAACTCGCCTCCTTTCCAGTCCTTCACCGTCTTCCTCCTCGAAATCTCACACTCCCCATTTTTCAATCCACCGCCTTCTTCTTCTGGCAGTGGTTTCGCCCCGATCGACCGTATCGTCAACTTGGACCTTCCCCTGGTCGACCCGGAAGCCGAATCGTTCAAGAGTAGCAGCAGCGGGCCCGAGGACGACGTTGTGGTTGCCGGATTCGTGCTGTTTTTCCCCAATTACTCCACTTTCCTGGCCAAGCCAGGGTTCTATGTGGAGGATTTGTTCGTGAGGGAGTGTTACAGGAGGAAAGGGTTTGGGAGGATGCTGCTGTCTGCTGTGGCGGCGCAGGCTGTGAAGTTGGGTTATGGGAGGGTCGAGTGGGTGGTGCTTGACTGGAATGTGAACGCCATTAAGTTCTACGAAGAGATGGGCGCGAAAGTCTTGCCTGAGTGGAGGATTTGCAGGTTAACTGGCCCTCAGCTTGAAGCGTATCGCGATGCTATGTAGAATGGTTGAGTGGCTTTGTAGTATTACTATTACAACTTGTTTATCAGCTCCTTTATTTCCTTGCAAGAGTTTCTTTCATTGAATGCTAAATTAATGAAATCTTACTGTTCGTTGCTACTTCTGAGTTGCCCTGTTTATTTTGGATGCTTAGTGAAGCTGTGGTTACATTTGAACCTATCCTTTTGCCTAATTGAGGTAATGGTGGAGTGATCACTATGTCCTTCCTTGGGATATCTGAGCTAGAAAGAAGCTTCATAGTTGAGAAGGCAGGCAACCTGTACATGAAAGACTCGATTAGGATCTTGTAACTCGGCAACTCTTCTTTCATCTTTAATTTGTCACAATGTTTGGTGCTTGAAGCTCGGTATAATCAGGGCAGTAAGCTCCTACTTTATTTTCACGATGTGTGGGTGCATACTACATAGTGATACTGGTAACTCCAAAACCTGCAAGTTGGTCTTTCCAGCAGAGACTTAGCTAGTGAGTTTGGAGGGTAACACTACCTATGGTCCATGACCTTATTTGGTTTCTTGTGAAACCCAAGAGTAGTGGCTAAGAAAAAACAGAAAGAGGAAATAGTAGTAGTAATACTTACATTACACATAAACTTGAAGTCTTCAGCTCTCATCTTCTACTGTCAAAACAAGGCTGCCATTGATGCATGTACACTAGCACGTCGATTGCCTGTTACTGCAGGGAGCCAGCCAAGCCATTCCAACCGAGATAATTGGTAAATCAGACATGGTTCTTAATGGCTTTGCTGTACCCAGTTTGTTCATCATAGTACTTAGACAACAACATAACACCACCATACTACTGAGATCTCTTGATTGCAGGAAGCACCGTGGAGATCAGTTCATGAGGAGGAATGAAACCGCTGCCAGCTGCCCCCTGTGCAGCAGGCAATCCCAAGAAGATCTTCTTGGCAGGAGCTGTTGAAGTCCAGCCCCACGAGATAGTAACTACCAGTCCCGCCTCCAATGGAGAGCAGGACTTTAATGCCTTTCCTTTGACACGATTTGATCTCGGAGCATAAGCCTTTGCAGCTGCCATTTGTTGGGTCGCAATGGCCTGCAAGCTATGATTACAAATCTATAGTCTCTAGTTGCACAGGTCTCTTCCAGGCCGCGGCTTCATCCCGTTCTGACCCCAGTAGATTGCTATGCTTCCAGCTTCGGAACGCTTGAGCATTGCCATTATAATTGCTGACAGCACTAGAAATGGTAGTGGTGAGTGTACTGCCCTGGAAGCCACCATCCTGCTTCGAGAAACGAACGAACAATCGATCGCTGTCTGTTGCTAGCTATTCCATCGCAATGTATGATTTCTCTCTGTTGTGCCTGAACTGTCCCAAGACCTGCTAGTTTTTATAGTGTAGTATCTAGATCATAGCGACAATATAAAGATCAAACAGTTCATTTCTTTAATCTCTCGCAGAGTCGTAGAGGATGAAGTCCAATGGAAACTTACTTTTCACGTCTTTGTTTTTTCTTTATCAGGTCGAGTTAAAATCTATTACATATGAAGTCCCAGAGGAAGGACGAGCAGAACACAACAAAACACGTGTGGCAATGCTAGTTGGTTGAGTCTCCTGGTAAAGTCTGACGAGTGTTTACTCTGAATTCAATTTGTTATGTCGTTCAATGACTCTGAAACTCTAACCATGCTGGAGATTAAATTGGTAAAACTAATGGTTTGCCGCGTAGTAGGACTGATCGTTACGATACAGTTTGACAAACACTGTTTACGTAACCAATTTGTTTGTTTCCACAGGAATCCAAACAAGCAAATCCAGTGTTTGGAGTAGTTAATTTATAGAACTTGGTGGAGGTCATATGGCTCCCTTTCAAGTTAGAACAGGACTTCTCTTCCTCCAGCCTTCATTTGATCAAAGTATGTTTCCAACAGTAGAACAACCAGAACTAGCGAAGAGACAAAAATTTTAGCAGGCTCGACTTAATAAGAACAGGGGAGCGTGTCCGCCTTTCCGCAACTTGGTCCATCTCGTGGACAGAATACTGGTTCGGCCGGAAGATCTGGTGTCAAGGAAGGAGAGGATGTGATGCAGAATGTAGTCCTGGAGATCACTCACCCTATACTCTGCACCAGACATACTCTGTTTCTCTGCTCTGCTCTCACGCCGAGCACTATCAACGAGAAGGAAGAGGCACACCAAGATCTTTTGTGGTGGCCTGAGCTAAAAGGGGTTTATAAATTCGCCAGTCGCAGCAGCAATTAGGAGACTTAATTTATCACAGTTAGCAGAAGATAACCGAGAGCCTTCAACCACTTATTATAGGTACTGAATCTTCAGGGTCTCCAGTCGGGTAAAACGAGAGAGTTCGTCCTCTATAACTGGTTTCATTTGGGAAATGGGAGAGTCTTGTAGGTACGGAAACTGATAAGAAAAGGAATAAGAAGGCCATGGATTAGTATTGGTAAACATAACTTATCAATAAATCAGCAACATTTCCATCATCAACAAATTTGAGTATGAACAACATGAAAATAGAAGAGGTGGTGCAGGAAAGTGCATGAGTACATACCTCGTCGTTGAAACACAGATCGAGAGACTTTACATTGTGCAAACCACGCAACAACGTCACAAACGCACTGTTCACCATCTTCATATAACCACGGCCAAGCAACTCATAATCCATGTTGTCGTCGAGGCTCTCGAGTCGGACGACAGCGCGAGCAAGACAAGGAAGGGTCACCTCGTCGATGAGCCAGATCGTGCTTGTGGGAGCCGAAAGATACAGAGACTCGAGCTTCGGAGCACACAATCTCGAGATGCGCCAAATCGTCGAATGTGCAGGCCGCTGATCACTCGCAATTTCGAGGTTCACCAGTTGGAGTCCCGACACTCGCAACGGCTTCTCGAGATGGCAATGGATCAGCTTCAAGCTCTCCAAACAAGGCAGACCGGCGAAAGGATCATCATCAAGTGAACACCAACCACATCCCACGTAGCAGGCACGCAGTTCCAAAATAGTCAGATTCGTGAAGTGGTGATTGGCAATCGCGCTGGGAGGGCAGAGAGCGAACCGCTCGAGCTTCAGAGTGGTGAGATGTTCACGGTGACCATGAACTGTGATGGGCTGGGCTAACTGATCGAAAGGAACCCGACCGGCAATCGACAAAATTCGAAGACGAGGATCAGGACAACTGCCGAGATATCTCATGACTATATCAAACAGCTCAATCTCCAAGCGCGTATTTGTTCTGGAGTCCCGAATCTCAGTAAATTCATAGCTAACGCTACCAATGGTGCCAGCGTGGTGGGATCCGAGAGATGACAGAGCATCTTGCAACCACAATTCGCCATCGTCATTGATCAACGACTTTGCCTGGAAATCGAAGACGAAGGCGTGCTTCCACAAGTTGGTCCACCTCTTGGACAGAGCGCCGGCTCGACAGGATGCTCTGGCGTCGCCGCCGAGGAAGGAGAGAATGTGGTGCAGAATGTAGTCCGGGAGTTGGCTTAACCTATCCAAGACAGCGACTTCTTTCCACAGGGTCGTCCACCTTTTGGACAGGGCGCTGGTCCCGACAGCGGATTTGGTGTCGAGAAAGGAGAGGATGTGATGCAGAATGCAGTGCGGGAGATCGCTCGCCCTATCGATGTCGTCCCGGATGCTTGCTTCTTCTTCCCCTGCCATAGCTACTCTTTTCGGCAGTCTGTTCATGAAGATCCTCTGGAGCTAAGGAATCCAGTCTGGGCGAGGGTTTCTGTTTATTATGTCTGCGTCTTCCCCCCCCCCCCCCCCCCCAACAGGATATGGACGAGAAGTTGCATATGTGTAGGGAAGGTATGAGTTGCTCGACAAGGGTTATTTATATATGAATGCGGGAGGGAGCAAACCCTAAAACGGACGGAAGGAATCCGAATCCTTTTAGGATAAGGAATATATAACGAAAGCCTGCGCAACGCAGCAGGTCTTGAATTTTGTGACTTGGGAATTGGGATCATAACTAGGTAGTTAAATTTATAAGAAAGAAAAATTAAAAAAAAAATGAAAAAAACAGATTAAAAAAATCCCAAAGTAGGAGTAGGTTTCCCGTTTCCTGCTGCTTCGGGCAAAAGGAAGAGTCTTGACTTGTTATTAAATGTTATTCCATAAGAGAAAAATAATATAGAATGAAACACTAAAATTGGGTTCAAGTGGCTTTGATCGGGTCGATATATAAGTTGAATATCCGTTGATTTGAGTTCAATTGTCATTCCAGTGCTGGTTTGAACTAGTGAGAAATTATAAACTAAATATATTCGAACATAGAATATAAGCTTGTGATATTTAGTACGGAAATTTATAGGTGGCGTATTCAGTGCACCCACTTTTTTGGGTGCACTCAGTGCACCCGCCCCATAATTGTCATTCTGAGCATGTGATTCATGTCAAAACGGTATCAATTGTTGCTTATGATATTATGAACAAGACGCACATGAATTTGAAAAAAATTCATTCAAAATTTACTTTAATTTGAAGGATTTAGGATTTAGGGTTAGGGATTAGGTTTAAAATTTGGGATTTTGGATTGGGATTCAAAATTGAAGGTTAAGGGGTTAGGGTAATAGATTGATTTGTTATGATTCTATGTCATATCATCATATTAGATTGAGAGTACTAATTAAAGTTCAAAATTTGATGTAATATGGACACTTTTAGAGTGGGTGCACTCAGTGCACCCAAAAAAGTGAGTGCGCCGAAGTACAAATATTAGGATATCTAATTTATCAATTATTTAAGAGTTTAATTAGGGTTCCAACCAAGGTTGTCAACCCGCGGGTTGACCCACGGGTCGACCCACTTTGACCCTAACCCGGTGAGAAAAACGGGCCGCACGCACCCGTCGGGTCGACCGCTACAAGGTACCGGGTTGAAAGTCAAATTGTGTCATTTTTTTTCTTTGGTTTGCGAAATGCGCCTATTTTCCGATTTTTCTTTTCGCTCAACTCAGCTCATTTGCAGCCCTAGTAGCGATCATCTATGGATTCGATTGGTCAAAGAGCAAGAGATCATGTACCACAACAAGAAAACCTTTTTTTACATATAAGTATGGAAACACTCGATAAATACATTCAAGCAAACTGCATTCTCACAAACTATTCACACAAGGCTAGTGAACATGTGTGGATGGCCGGATGGGATCCGCTCAGCACGTAACTTAGACAGAGTTCTTGATGGATTTGCTGTATCCAGTTTGATCATCATAGAACTTCGACCACAGCATCACACCACCGTACTTGGAACTGTCCTTGATTGCAGGTAGCACCTGCGATTCGAGGTCGCTCACGGGGATGAATCCGCTCCCAGCAGCATCAGGAGCAGCAGGCAGCCCCAGGAAGATCTTCTTAGCAGGAATGGCGGAGGTCCATTGCTTCCAAGCATCTTCAAGGTTCGTGACACTCCCAGAAGAGTACTGGCAAGGAGGGTTGTTGTAGAATTGAACCCAAACATAGTCAAACAGGCCACTCTGAAGTGCACTCCCTATCCAAGCATCAGGGAACGGGCACTGTGGAGCTGCTGTCAGTATGATGTTTTCGTCGTGTGATTTCAGGAACCTAGCCAGATCATCCCAGTGCTGGTTCGTTCCCCCTTCGATGTCGAAGTCGACCCCATCGAGCACAGCCGGGCCGAGTGGCCTAGCAGATGAAGAACCACCGAAGAAGTTGTCCCAGAGGTAAGTTGCAACCTGCTCTGCGTCTTGTTTCGATGTGAGGTAGTAATCTCCAGCTCCTCCGCCGATGGACAGCAAGACCTTGACCCCTTTAGCTTGGCATGACTTGATGTCAGAAGTTAGACCGGCACAGCCGCTGTTGGTTGGATCACAGTGGCCTGCAAGGTTGATCACCGGTGGCTGTTCGTTGCCAAATGATGACAGAAAGGCTATGTTGACATAGTGATAGTTTCCTGTGGCGCAAGTTTCGGCCAAGGTTCCTTCATTCCCATTCTGTCCCCAGTAGATTGATATTCCACCACCAGCTTCACAATCCATCACTAGCACTGCAGCCAGGATTGCTGATAGTGTTATGGCTGCTCTGATTCCCATCATCTTTTGCTTTTCTCTTTGTTGTTGCTGCTCTTGAACTTCAAAATTTTGCCTGTCTAGTGTAGTTACTTGTTTCCTGATGTTTTCCTTTTCTGAGAAGTCTCTTGTTTTGTTTTGGTAGATTCAAGTTGGGATCTCTTTTTATATGTAACAGAGTAGGAAACCTCCTTTGTGTTTATCTGTTTGAAGGTTCATAATAATATTTCTATTCATTCCTAGTTTCCTACCATTGCAGGGGACTGCGTGGAGTAGCAGCAGCTTTGCAGAGTTAATGCAGTTTAGAAATGAATGGACCTGAACCAACGTTGCTGCTGCATAATAATACAAGCTTACTGCTTATGGAGCAAAATCTTTTCCGAAATAGGTGACGATAATAAAAGGGTCATGGCTGGATTCCCTTTTCATTTGTAAAGAGAATGACTAAAATGATTGGATTGGACGACTTTATTAATTGGTTTGCAATCTAGATGGACTTTTCTTTTCTCTTCTAACGTAATAGACGTATTGTCACCTAAAAGATATATTCATTTGCATCCGGTCTACTTTACCAGTGCATGTCTTTAGCGACCACGTCCATCCGGGATTCCAATGAGAACTACGGGTTTTGATGGTCTGACAAAAGGAGCATCGCATCTGAAGTAACCTTTCCTCTCCAACTGCAGTATCTCACCATGCTTCAAATTACGTATGTTTGAATCACCGAGAGCAGCAATCTCCTTCTTCGAACACGGGTTGAGAACATCCATGAAACTCTCATCTTCTTCCAGCTGCACATACAACAGTTTTAAAGCAACAGCTCTTAGTTACTGTCACAAAGTACAGAAGCCAGACACCTAATTATGAATCTTCTATGGACAAGGTTAGTAAGGAATTACCTTCTTCTTAGTGATCAGATGGTCATACTCCACCATCGACACCTTCACCAACTCGTTTATCTTAGGCAGCCAGGTTAGCTTCAACTTTGTGGTCTTTACAGAGCCTTCCAAATGTAAAACACCAAACAACGCTTTGATTGTTCCATCTTCATTCTTCACAATTTCCTGCACAATCGCGTTCCCCCAGTCCATCAAGGTAACTTCTTCATTTACTGAGATAGACTGAGCATCAGCTTGGTCAATCAATATGCTCTTTGTGTATGTTGTGGCCTTTTCTCCAGCACCCTCATATTTCTTGTGTCTAGGTATGATGCGAACAAATGCTGCATCAGGAACATCATGCAGTGTGAACAACACACACTTTTCTTCAATAACAGCAGTGTGCCTCGAGCACACTGGATCAACTATCTTCTTGTTGATCGTCCAAAGTTTGTCCCACTCCATGAGGTTGAGATTTTTGGAAGCCCCCTAGAAATCAACATTAGCAAACAGATCAAAACATATAACTCGGGGACTAGAAAAAAATAGCTACATAGTTGATAACAGACAGAATACGAACTAAAAGGAGCAGTAACAACTATGTACAGTTGCAAGTTAGCTTACCTGTTCGAGAATGAATTGCACTAATGCCTCAATTCTGAGTCCCCTGCGAACAATACCTTGAACAGTTGGAAACCTAGGATCATCCCAGCCATCAACTTTTCCATTCTCAACAAACCAACGAAGATTACGTTTGCTCAACAACGTATATACCATGTTCAATCGGCTAAACTCAAAAATGTGAACCTTCCTTAACCCCATATCCTGTTGAATCCTGTTATATTGAGCATTCCTATCATGGTACTCGCTTGACCTGAGTGCATGAGTTATGCCTTCTTCAGCATCAACAAACGGACAAGCAAAATCATATGTTGGATACAACTTATATTTGTCCCCAACTCTATGGTGAGGAACAGGATTGCAACGATAGTAAACTGGATCACGCAGAGATTTGTTTGGATCTTGCATGTCCAATTTCCCACGGAGGCAGCACTGTTGCCCACGTTCGGATGCATCAATCATTTCCTTCCACAGTTTCATATTCTCTTCCACACTGTGGCTACGGCATTTCGATTCGATGCCTTCTCCCCTTTCCTTTTGCATTTGTTCTCTTGGCGTGTCATCAACATAAGCTTTCCCTTCTCTGATCAACTTCTCAGCCATCTCCATCAACTTGGGAAAGTAGTCTGAAGTATGTGTGATATCCTCATATTTGATACCAAGAGTCTCTATATCTTTCAAGAGATTGTCCACAAACTCACTGCTTTCTTTGGAAGGATTAGTATCATCCAACCGTACAATGAGTTGACCTCTGTACCTCTGGGAAAAATACTGGTTCAAGAGAGCAGCTTTAGAGTGACCAATGTGAAGAAAGCCACTGGGCTCTGGAGCGAACCGCAATACCACCTTTCCAATCTCAGCCTCCGGAAGGTCAACTTCAGCTGAAGGCCTGCTGCTGCTTCCTTTCCTATTTGCATTCAGCTTGACTGCAATTATAGAATAATATAATGAATATAACTCAAACAGCCCCAGTCATCAACAAAGAACATTGTCAAACGCAACTTGAAACAAACAGCCAAAATTTCTACCTATGCTCTAAACTGTGATGGTTCATCTAGAACTCCACGTAATAGAGCCAACACTAGTACAATTTCAAACAAGACGAGCAGCAGAATTTGACGAAGAGATAAACATTTATCTAAACATATAAACAGCAATTTTAAGAGTTAACACACAAAGGTAGAGACATATGCATGTACATTGTTGTGACGAACGAGTAGAACAAGCAACACGAAAACTGAACAAGAGATTTAGTTTAGCAGCGAAAAAGGCTTTCTGTCATGCCTCAAAACTCAGAAGCCGTTGCAATAGGGTATCAATCAGCTTGATTATACCAAGAAACAACCTCTCATTACCGTTATTTATGTAATGGGGATCTGGAGGCTGGCCGGATATGCTCATGCTCGAATCGCCGGCGACTAGAGTGGAGCTGCTAGGGAGACGAAGGAATATTGGGAGAAAGAGGGCGAAGCAGGTTTTCGAGCAAGAGTTTTGGGTGCAGATAGAGAAGCCGTCCGAATTCCTAGCGGATCGGGACTTCAAATTTTGTGATGGCTAACAGAGTGGCCCATTATCAGAGCGATCACATAAGCCCACTCTAAACGGGCCGGGCCTGATGCTAGTTATGAAATATGGTAGGACTATCCTTTATTGTTTTACACTTTTATTCGATTTGTTTTAAATTGAATTACATTGTAATGGTTAATTACACATTTGCTCAGTTATTTTATTCAAATTATTCTACTTTATCATAGAAAAAAATTAATTCATATTTAGAACCTACTTCAAATCTCTTTTCATCATTGTCACATTCACTTTCATAAATTTGTCCTACATAACAGTCAAGTATACCTTTGAGATTCATGAAACCATATCGTACCAGCAGTTCAACCACAAAATACTAGTATCGGAGACTACCGATAGATGATATTTACTATTTAAAAATACTATCGGTTGAACTACAGTTAAATCCCGGGTTTGCCATAAAATACCCTATAGTTGACTTTTTCGGTACGGTTTCATGAACCATGCTTTGACCATTAAATAGATAAATTAAAAATGAATAAAATATTATCATATTTTATTTTTTTTCTCCAATTTCAAGCAAATCTAGAGGGTATATTTTCAATATATTATATGGTAATAAACAAAAAGAATATTTACGATTCTATGACTAAATGAATGTTTTTTTCAAAATATTACATAGTAGGTATCATTTTGTAGATCTAGTTGAATATGAGTTTTTGAAGCAAACAAAAGTTAAATATGATTTGAAACGAAAGAGATGATGAGAGAGACAAAATAAGGAGAGAGAAAATACAAAATGTGGCATAATTTGATTGGTTGCAGGATTATTTATTTAGGGTGACTACTTCGGTGCACTCACAAAAATGAGTGCGTTCAATGCACCCAACTCAAAAACCAGTCTTAAAAGTGCCGGATTTTGAATTTTAATTTGTAGAATTAGTGTAATATGATGATATAACATATGATAACAACTAATTAGCGGATTACCATAAGCCCTAGACCTCCAATTTTGAGTTCTATCCCTAAATCCCAAATTGTAAACCCTAACCCTAACCCTAAATCTCTAAACTCCAAATCCTTCAAATTAAAGTAAATCTTCAATGGTTTTTGTGCAAATTCATGTGCGTTATTGTTCATCACATCATAAGTAATGATTGACATCATTTTGACATAAATCGCATGTTTAAAATGACGGTTATGAAGCGAGTGCACTGAATGCACCCAAAAAAGTGAGTGCACCAAAAACACCACCATTTATTTAGTATTCATATTTAATTTTAATATAAATATAAATATGTTTTCACTAAACTGCCCTTCATATATATCAATCTCGGGCTCCAATTTTGAAATGGAGAAAATCAAATGCTTGAATCTCCATTATAATTGTGTAAAATGTAAATCTTTAACTTAAATCATTTTTTCACCAAAAGTCGACAGAGAAAGTGTTATGTCCCTGTCCCTATTGTTCTGAGAGAAGACTAATACTAATGTTTTCTTTTTGGTGTTATGAAAATAACAATAGATTGGTGGTTGAGGCTAGTGTAATGAGAGAGTCTAGTTGAGAGGATAAAATACATACTAGCTTAATTTTCGGTATTGTTCGGTATTTCGTTATATACCGATCACAATCCCATTATCCCTAATACCGAATAACAATTGAAATTGAATCCCAATCTCAATCCCAAGAAATAATACGTGTATTCGGTAATACCAAATATAGACAAATTTGGTACGGTATTCGGTATATCCCAAATACCGGTACCATACTTCCAGCCCTAGCTGAAATGACATGGATACCCGGGTCTAACAGGTGACCATGGTCAGCAAGAAAATCAACACACTTATTAGCCTCCCTGTAAGTGTAGTAAAAAAACAACCCCCTAGTCACGACTGGGGAGGTTCCTGAGACAGTCAATGGTAGCAGTGTGATGGTGTATGGGGGCTCCTTGTTCTGAAGGAGCTAGATGGCACAACGAGACTACGAGAGTCATTTCCAGATGAACACGCCGATAACTCAGCTCCCAAACCAGTTGAAGACCTTCTCAACTTTGCCTGAGTGATAGAGCAGATCTCCAGGTTAATGACGACGCTGCAAAGCAGCACCCCAATTGATCTCGGATGACACCGCATCATGGCCGGTCATGGTAAACAAATCCATCGGAGTTGAGAGTAACCCACTCCGAAGGAGGTGTCTTCCAGAAAATCCACTCCTCTGTTCTTGTAGGTGGGCATGGGATGGAGAATATCCCTTACCTTGTCCAAGGCAATCGTCACGATGGTTATCCAAGCCAGAACAAGTTGAATGAAAGCTTCAATTGGGACGACATTGTTGACAAACATTCGGTTGTTTCTGGCCTGCCAAAGGGACCAACAGGTGAGGCCAAAATGAAGATTAGTGTCTTCTTAGTTTGTATTTCCTTTCTCTCTCTAGTCTAGGGGAGATGAACCCTATCTTAAGCTGTCTACAACAGAAGAGCTAAAATGGAAATTTTTTATGGGACTATTTTAGCTCTTTTTGGGGTGGTTTAAGAGGGGAGACTAAAATGGTGGGAGCTAAAAAGGTGGGGATTATTTTAGCTTTTTTCTGCGCTTTAGTACTTAAATTGAATATACTTGTGTTGCTGTGAGGTCATGTACTAAACACCCCATTCAAAGGTACGTCAGTTATGGACAACTAAGTAAGGAGTACAAGGCATTCACTAGCCATTTGGACTCAACTCATAGGACCATTGCATAAGCAATGCAACATCCTCAATGGGGACAAGCTGTTCTAGAAAAAATAAGAGCATTAGAAGAGAATGGAACTTGGAGTATTGTGCCTCTAACCAACCGGGAAAAAGATAGTTGATTGCAAGTGGATATTCACCATCAAATACAATTCGGATGGAAGTGTTGCAAGGTATAAGGCAAGGCTGGTAGCTAGAGGATTCACACAGTCATACGACATAGACTACCAAGAAACCTTTGCTCCCGTGGCAAAATTGAAGACTGTCCGAATACTAATGTCCATTGCAATTAATGAAGACTGGCCACGGTTTCAAATGGATATCAAGAACGCCTTCCTAAATGGCAACTTGAGTGAGGAAGTATACATGGAGATACCCGAAGGAGTGGAAAATAATCATGGTAGAGGCTCGGTGTGTAAACTGGAGAAGTCACTATATGGACTAAAGCAATCACCACGAGCGTGGTTTCAGAAGTTCTCTAAAACTGTGATGGCAGATGGGTATTCCCAAAGTCAAGCCGATGACACTATGTTTATCAAACATGGACAAGAGGGAAAGCTCACTATCCTGATTGTCTATGTTGATGACATAATTGTCACTGGAAGTGATACTAAAGAAATCAAGAAACTGAAGGCTAGACTGAGAGAAGAGTTTGAGCTAAAGGATCTCGGTGAAATAAAATATTTTTTGGGAATGAAGGTGGCCAGGTCACATAAGGGACTGCTTATATCACAAAGGAAGTATGTCCTTGATCTATTGGAAGAAACATGAATGACTGGTTGTAAACCGGCAGATACACCGATGCAACCAAACATGAATGACTGCTTATTATAGTGTTATATTGTAATCCACTTGGTTACAACATTTTCTTCCCAGATTAGGGACCAATATATCTCTTATTACCATAACTTCTTCCCAGATTAGGGACTAGGGAAACCAATGCATCTCTTGGTTACCATCGATCAAATAACTAACTTCTGGATGAACTGTACCTTAGTCCTGATATTTGGTTCAATTGACAACTTCTGCAATAGCCATCCAGGTTTTGAATCAAAATGGAACAGTACCTGTATGATGATGTCCATTCAGCTGCCTACGTGTTTTTAAGATTGATGTCAGTACCAAGCTGCAAGAACTAATTCAAGCAAAGCTACAATGATTTCAACCCAAATGATTCAACTTTCAAGTCATTGATATAAAGCTGGGAATGACGTCTATCAGGGGCTCGAACTAGGAGACAGGAAAAAGAAAAAACAACCCTTCCACAGACAACCACAACCATATCAAACTGATCATCGTCAGGCAAGCGAGTGTGCTCGCCTGCGTACTGTTCATTTGTCTTTCCCTTACTGAGTTTTCATTCCTGCTGATATGCTGTTTTCCTTTCCGTTTACTCTAATACCGCTGAGGACAAATATCAAACTTGCAGTTTGCTTCCCTTTATCATAACACAACCATCTATCACCAAGGGAGAAGACAACTGTTACAGCAGGATTAAACTTGATTGAAAGCTTTTAACACGTTCTGAAGAGGCGCAACAGAAGAATGTGCCATCAGGAAAACATAAAGCTATGAAAGACACCCTCAAATCAGCAATCAAATTATTAGCAAGGACCGAAACTACTCTACTAATCCGACAGAGCATCCATGTCGTTCCAGTAAAACAACAAAAGGGTTACATCTCAAACTTGAATTGCAGACTCGCAATAAGTTCAGGGAAAGCAAAATGAACCAGCACAAACCACAGGAGACGGCTTCGCAGCAGCATCGTCACACTCCCACCTTGTTATTTCGTTGTTGATGATGATGAATCAGGCTGTTTCTTCTGGTCTCGTTTAACAAGCCAGTCCTGCAAGTTGCAGTACCATCCCAAGGTATTAGAGTAGAACTGGCACAATCATTAACCCTCAAAACGCAATCAATGGGCAGACTCAAGTTATTTCCTTTAGGCAAAATCACAAACACTTAACACATACATGGCCAAAACAATACAGTTCCTAATCAAACGAAACAGCATTTCTGACAAAAAGAATTCCCACGATTCGAGAATTAAGAGAACAATCTCCGAGTTAGGCATCGAACATGCCAACTTATCGCCTCTAATCAGATCGAATTGACGATAACCAGAGGGAAGCTTTCAAAGCTAAATCTAGGGTTCGGAAATCGAAAAGAACAGAGCGAAAAGGAGGAAGGATTTACATTCTCAATGAACAGGTAGTTGGCGACGATCGTGGCGCCGACGATACCGCCAATTATCGACGTCGGACCAGTCAGCAGGCTCCACCTTCTGTAGATCATCTTCTTTCACCCCGTATGATTTCAACTTCCCGCAAACGCCAATGAAATCGATAGTTCTTCTACAGCCTCCACACAAAAAAAGAGAGAAGGCAAGGGAGGAACGAAAAGGGAATTCTCAGTTCTTTTCTTAATCCGTTCCAGAGTATTTGTATGATTACATATCAGTCCTTTAAAAACCAACATTCCATTTTGATCCCAAAATATTCATCGCTATGCACAAACAAGTCCCTATACTAGGAAAAAGTTAGGATTGTTATTGGCTTATTGCTCTAGGGTTTATCACTTTAAGTAGGGATGTAATTCTCTAGGTTTCAGAGTGAATCAAGCCAGTTTAAAATTCACATCTGAACCAAATAATAGTTCGACATAGTCCGATTTCGATTTGCACGATTTTAGGAGGAAAATCAAAATCATAAAAGCAACCAACAGTCGCAATAGACAATCTCAAATGATCCTAAAGCCTTTGATCCACTCTTTGAAAGGGGTGTCTTGATTAGGTACCGTGATGGAGTGTCTAAGGCATTTCCAGAGATCCTCAGTTTTTTTTCCGGTCCTCTGAGAATGTGTTCCGTTGTTTCTTTTTAGTCATTACACTGCGGATGAGTGCATCTTCTAATTGGCCAGTAATCTTTCATGCATAGTGAGCCGGAAGAAATGCTTGATTCTGTTAGATTCATTTTATTATCCTCCCTGGGATATCTGACTAGAATAAACTAATTTGCAATATTTGATGCTTAATTTCGTCTTTGAGGATGTTTCTTCAGATATCATGTTCATTGAGAATCGATTGATGGCCGCTTTGGTGCTTAAAGAGCACAACTGCAAGGATGGGTTGGGCTCTCATGCAGTCATGCTGCTGGATCATATCAAAGATTGGGTCGAGGTGCTGTTCAGATAAAAAAAGTCCATAAGATCAGATGTATCCTAGCTTCACAAATCACTGCATCATCACCATCGCAGCAAAGGTTTTATTAAGCCTGAGTTGAGAGACTCCTTTTCACGTTTTTCTATATATTAAGGATTTTACAATTTGTCCCCACTGGAGCTGGGAATGAATCGCAAATTGAAAGAGCGAGGGGAGATGAAAAAGTATTCTTAACAAAGAAAAAGGGAAGAGGATAAAAATCTATGGTCACTCAGATTTGGAATGGCTCAATAGCTAGAGTCCGCAGTTGAAGGCCGCCTCAGAAAATATCGGAGGCTGTTACTTAAGACCTGCCATGTACCAAGAAGCAACATCTTCATCACAATGTTGAAAAAAAAGACGAAAGAAAGAAATAATGAAGCATCAGAGGTCATGTTTCAGGGCTGTACCTGTTGGAGGGGCTTGATGGTAGCTTTGCCCTTGTAGCTCACATGGAACTTTGCCTTAGCAAGTAAGCCCTGGAATGAAAAGCAAGCAAGCAACAATGACATTTCATCCCAGCGAGAATAGTACGCGATGGAATCTAGCTCATCTTGGAACATAGGTATGTATTACCTCTGTGTCGAACTCTCCAGATTCTACAGTAATGTTAATATCAGAGATGATCTTTACAAGATCGACCAACAATCCAGGGCGATCAGCTGTCTCCACATAAAGTAAGCTGTCAAAGAAAGCATACCCATATGAATGGCATTAGCTACCGTTCTTAATGGCTCTCCCTTTTTACAATAAACTGCATCACATATATATGCCTGATACGATGAATAAGTACTAGATTGTGCGGACTAATGTGACTTCATCATAATGTTTATCAGCTAAGTGCACTCTCATCATTGTTGCTTCTAACAGATGCATACAGGCTGTGATTGCTGCTGCATAGGGAAATTTAGTGACTTCGGGAGGACTTCAGCAGGGCTGTGAACAACAGATTTACCTTCGTTCTGGACTGTCCTCAGAAATGGTTATGTGCGTTGCTATATCCACGTCAATCTGAGAAAGTAACATAAAGCAATCTTAGGAAACCCACATGAAGCTGTTAGAGTAATTCGAAAAAGAAAAGAAGAAGCCATAATGTTTCATAGCCCTTGCTAAGCAATTAGATTCTATGATTTCAAACACACAAAAAGGTTGAGAATGGAAAAACATACATGAGTCAGAACAATAGTAGTATACAAACATGACGGAATCAAATAACCACCTGTTGTTGAGGCGGTTCTACACCAAAGGCAGCCCCCATTGCAAGCTGGGAACTTGATTCCTGTTACCAAACTTGAAAGTCATTTTGAATACAATAGTCAACAGGAGCATAAACTGAACATAGGAGATTTTAAATTGCAGTATACCAAGAAAAGTGGAAGCTGCAAGCTGAATTAGGACTGGGGACTTGAAACCATATATTTCTCATTCATTGCAAGAGCTTAATGTCTATAATTTCGCAAATTACTTTGTTTATGGTTACGTTCATAACAACAGATTCCACAAATGTTCAAGAACAAATATTATTGATGATTACCGGATGGTACTCAAGAAGGTTGTTGATAATTGTCAAGCGAATTGCCTCAAGCAGCTCTGGATCATCAACTTTTCTGCCGGTGCTCCTGTAAAAAGAGATGCAATGAAGCTCAGTCAGAACAAAACTCGTAACCAATCTATCAGGTGCGAACACTTCGATCACCTATCAACCATTGCTAAAACACACAATCCTAAGAACTCAAAACATTGAAACAAGAACATATATTGAGCTTACGCTTTTGTTATGGCAAATTTGTTGTGTTTCCCAGAAGCATCTAGGAAGACATTAGCTTTAACAACATTGAGGCCCAGGTTCTTAAGAGCACTCATCTGTAGAAATAGACACCAAGTAGAAGAATGGAGCACAATTGATTAAGAGCAAGCATGGAGGGTGGTAAGCAGTTGCAATAGAGGAATTGAGTTTAACAACGAGACAAAGAGCCAAACAATGATCCATACCGTGTCAAGAAGAGCCCCAAGGCGATCCCCAAAGGTGATCTCCACAACGGTTGCATCAGGATCAGAGTCCTGGTCAATTATGACCTTCGGAGTGGGGACTGTATCGGTGCCGTTGAAACTACCATCCTGTTCCATCATAGAAGTATCAAGTGTGTTAGCAAAACCATGAGACCCAAAAAGGCAAAATCCACACCAACAACAGCTGCCCACCTCAACTGCTGTGGTTGAAGCTCGGGGAATGATGAGGGTCCTAGAAGAACACAACAATCTGGGCAAGTAGGAATTGCAAATGTTATGAAGTAAAAAAGATCCACCAGCCCTTTCCACAAGCTTAGAACCTTGATGCACACTCAGGAGAATGGGAAAAAGGGCATCGCTCCATGGAAGAGAGAACGGGGTTCTAATTCATTGGAAATAAACTGGTATGCAGAATAATAGTTCGTTTCTGGAGGAATGACACAAACAAACAAAAGGAGCCATAAAGGAGAAAAAAGGAAGTACTGGGTTTACCTTCTTTTGGTACTAGAATTACCACCAATTTGATTGAAGGAAAGGGGAGAAGTGGCAGGAGTGGCGCCGAAGCCGAAAGCCAAGGGGAGATTGTCAACAGCTCTGGCGTTGGTAGCAGAGTGAAGCCCAGAACTGGCAACGAAAGTTGCAGCAACAGCAGCCATTTCTTTCTCTTGGGCCTCCCTCAAAAACCAAGAAGTTGCAGTGAGTGACCAACGGAAGGCCAGAGAGATGACAAAGGGGGGGAAGAGGAGCTGATGATAAATGGTATCTCTCACTAGAGCTGAGGGAGAAAGAGACAATCCAGATCAGGAGGAAGCATCACCAATTCCAAGGAAATGGAGTGGGAATGGGATATTGTGGGGAAATATCTGTGAAGCTAGTCTAGTGGGCAGTGGGAAACGAAGGAAGGAAGGAGGTTTGGTGCCTAGTAACATCCGCCATGGCTGAGGGAAGGAGGAGGTTCAAAATGGGTATCCTTCATATTATGGGGTCATCAATGTTTCATCTCATTATCTACAACCCAATAATACATATGGTTGATGAATTGCTGCTGCTGAATGGGATTGAGATTTGGATTGGGAAAGAATGGTCCTTTGCTATAAAAGTGACGCATTTGGTGAGAATGGCCCTGCCTGTCTCCATCACTCTTTCCTCATCTCATCTCATCTCCTATCCCACACTCTACTACTTCCCTTCCCATTTCTCATCCAACTTCCAGAGTAATTTCCCACGTATATTTTTCCTCTGTTTTCACCTTTTCAATTAATTAAAAAAAGTTGCTCTTGTTTTCCATTTGAGCCGGCCATTTGCTTACTAGCCCCTGACTTGGCGTCCACTTGTGTTGTTGTGTGTCTCTCTCTCCATTTCTTTCTGCAGAACATTATTTTATTTCCCACTTGAATGAATGATATTTGTTTGTCTTCATCTCGATCTCAAGGCGCTTAGAATTGGCGATGCGGATGGATATTATTCCACCTCCCGAGGCCCTTATCTGATATGAAAATGGGCCTGGTTGGATCCACTGCAAAGTTATTCGTCTTTCCATCCCAGGCCCGAAGAGCGAATCCATGGACATGGTGCTATTTGGGCTTTGGATTATACTTTATATAGCTCCGCCGGAGCGTCAAATTCATTTTTTTCCGGCAGAGAGAACTCCGGGGATTTTTTTCCATTTCCTGTCCGCGCAGTCTGGGGGTAACTGACCTTCTCCTTCTCTTTCTTTCTGCGCCAATTTCATATCAGCTAAATTTGTCAGCTTCTCTCGTTTGATGGAAATGGGCGAGGGCTATGTCCTGCAGAATTGGAATTTTAGGAAGGCGGGTAATGTGAAATCGAGTTTTGGTGGATTCTTCTGTGGCTTAGGGAGTTTCAGTAATATTTCGTTTCTGTGGCTTTTTTGACAACGGACTGCATCGCAACTGTTGATCGAGTTTTGGTGGATTTTTCTCATGTGTATTTCTGTTGATTCTAGCTGGGTCACCTTACCAAAACACATATGAACCATTGAGGTTTGAGGAGTTGCTGGTTTGACTAATGAATCTCTCGACTGTTCCAGGGCTTCTCTGGCTGTACATAATCAATTGCATCAGAGATATAAGATAAAATCGATGGCATCTCAAGACTCTGTCATGATCCACACTGACCAGGTTGCTACTGACACTCCTTTCTTTCTGTGCAGTGGCGGATCCAGGGGGTGGCCACCCCGGGCCCCGGCCCAGCCCTCCCCTGGATTCGGAGTTAGTATAGTGTTTATGAATTTTTCGATTTTAGTTATTCGGTCTAGTATTATTTTATAATAAGATTGTGTGTAACTAGAAACATGATTCAGATTAACATATTCAAATCACTACTATAAATTTAGCCTAGAAATTCTAGCTCCAAAGACATTTTTCTAAAAAAACAATGAAATCTAAAATTCTAAAAGTCTAAAACGTAAAAGACTATAAGAAATATGAGGTTTGTTCTCTTGAAAATTTACTAAAGCAGTTAGTGGATATAGGTATGGACACACAATGCACGATTGATTTGTCTAGTGTTGACGCTGCTCGTATCAACAACTACTACAAGGAGAACCTTTTCAACAAAGAAACACATGAAAACTGATTTCGCAACAAAATGAACGAGGAATTTCTAGCCGATTGCTAAAGTATTTTATTTAAAACAATGTATACTATTGGAATGGATGTGGACTCCATAATTGATGCATTCGCTAAATTAAAATACCGTGGTGTACAATTTATATTGTAAAAAAACTATAATGTTATTTTACGGGTCTAATTTTTTAATGAAATGCGGCCCAGTGCTCTTCTGTGTTCTGGATCCGCCGCTGTTTCTGTGGAGAAGTTTTTGATGTTTCAAGTTCGTAATATCGCCTGTCTGTTTTTAATGGAAACATTCAATGGAAAAGTAGTAACTGAGGATTAGGTTGTTAGTTAAGATGCGTGAGGTCGTTCTTTCTATGATCAGCTGGTAATACTCTCTTGACATCCTGCAGCAGATGTCAGTTCCATGGTTTACTTGTCCTGAACTGACCGAGTATGAAGATCCATGCATCTCATATAAGTTCAAGGTTTTGTTTGCTTGGCTGGGATTTTCCAGGTTCTGGTAGAAGAGAAGTCGTCTGCAAGGATATTGGTATTAAATAGGCCTAAACAGTTGAATGCCCTCTCGTATCCAATGGTATCTTCACTTGCTTCCCCATCAAACCCTTCAGCTTTGAACATCCCGTGTCAGATGTTTAGAAGCGAAGTTCAGAAATACTAATTATGTCTACATATATGTTAGATTTCTCGGCTTCTAGACCTTTTCCTTGCTTACGAGGTGGATCCTAATGTCAACCTTATTATTCTTAAGGTACTTTCCAGTTCAACTTTGCGCTCTAAATGTTTCTCATCTCCAACATAGTTAGAAGAGAGTCCAGTCACACAATGCTTCAATATTCAAAGTCTGCTGTAGTTTCTATTGTTGATTTGAAAGCCATGAATTTCACAAATGTACCCACTTGAAAAGTGAGTAAATGTTTTGAGGAATGTAACTTTATCCTCAGGGAAATGGAAGAGCATTTTGTGCGGGTGGTGATGTGGCAGCCGTTGTGCATGATATTCGCAAAGGTTTAATTTCAGTTTATTTCCTGTTTGCAATGATGACACTAGTGTCCTAAAATGTTTATTCATTCCATTTCATTTTTTACCCATCAGGAAGACAGATGATACATCTGTAGCATAGAGCATCCAGTTATACCTATATTTTAGTTGATGAAGATGAGAGTTGCTTTGTCCATTTGTTTGTTTCAGCTAACTGGAAGTCAGGAGCCCAATTTTTCTCAAAAGAATTCATCTTGAATTATGTGATGGCGACATATACCAAACCCCAGGTAATGCACTTCTCTTTCAGTTTTTTAGTTATTCAACTTACTCTTCTAATGTTTTGGAGCTAACTTGAAGGTGTCTATCCTTAATGGAATTGTCATGGGAGGAGGAAATGGAGTTACTATGCACGGAAGATTCCGCGTTGCAACTGAAACTTCGGTAATGTATTTTCTTTTTAGCTTCAGTTTTGTCCCTGATTGCAATGCAACTGACTGGCCTAAGTTTTGCATACTCTTCCATGGGTGTTTTAGTTGTGGTAGATAAAACCTGGATTTGGGGTTGCAGAATCCTAAATCCTTAAAGGAACCGAATTTCAGAACATATAGCATCCTGATGATTTGATAGACATACCTTGTGTAGTATCTGAAGAAGGTCTATATGAGAAGACTAATATTGAATATTTGCAGGTGTTTGCTATGCCTGAAACGGCTTTAGGTCTCTTCCCTGATGTAGGTGCCTCCTATTTCTTGTCCAGACTCCCAGGATTCTTTGGTAAGTAAATTGCATTCTTCATTTATTTTTTGCAGATCTCATTATTGCATAAATACTTGAGATTCATGGAGTGTGTACTGCATTTATTTGCATTGGTTCTGGTTGTTTAATGAGCCAACCGTGCTTTTAAAACATTCACTCCCATCCCACAAAATTCATTGAACATGATTTTTCAGTACTTGTAGTGATATCACCAAACAAAGTATTGATGATGTTGATTTTACAATAAACCGTCCTCGTAGATATTATCCCTGAAATTCTGATGATTGTTTTGATAGGAGAATACGTTGGACTTACTGGAGCAAGGTTGGATGGTGCTGAAATGCTTGCATGCGGCCTTGCAACTCATTTTGTCCCTGCAACGGTATGGTATACATATAGGAGTCTAATCAAATTTGGAATACAGGAAAGCTGAAGGTTCTTGATCGAAATATTTTTTAGAAAAGGAGTCTTGCTTGTAATAGATTGGTCATCTTTCCCTTTTCATGCGTAGGAAATTAACATTGACTCCATTGTGTTTTCATAACTGTTCTAGTAAACAGCATGAGTTGTCTATATGTTGACAGAAATTGAGTCTATTGGAAGAAGCACTACACAAGGTAGATTCAAGTGATTCAGCCATAATTTCTGCAATTATTGACTGCTACTCTCAGCAACCATACTTGAAAGACCAAAGTGCTTATAGACGGTTAGTTCTTCCTTTAATATGCATTTTCCCTTCAGTCTAGTCACTTCAGGTGTCTGCAACTTATTACATTTGATAAGAGGAAAGCATCACGAGTGTAGTCCCTTTATTTGATCATATGTGCCAATATCAAATTCATTAACATGTTTTCCCAAAACAATCTCTTGGTTCTTGTTAGTTGTTCGGAAGTCAGTAAGTTTGAAGTAGGGCTGTGAAGCTTAGGCTGGTTATTATTTGACCTTCTAGTTAGTATAGCAGAAATGAAGGATTACTGCAAACTTCTTAAAACATGTTTGAACAATGTTCTTCGTCCCTCTCATGTCTTAATGTGTGTTATTGTGTCTGCAGTTTAGATGTCATCGATAGATGCTTCTCCCGGAAAACAGTTGAAGATATCTTGTCTGCGCTTGTAAGTTAGTTTGACTCCACTTGTATATTCATTCAAAGCATCTATATCCATCAATAAAAACTAGTTAACTAATCACTCGTCATATGTAGGAAAAGGAATACATGGATAAGGCAGATGATTGGATCAAGAACACTATTCAGTCACTCAAGAAGGCTTCTCCAACAAGTCTTAAAATTTCACTCCGATCAGTAAGTATTTGCCTTGAAAGCATTACATTATCATATTGTGACATAGAAGTTAAATCTCAGTGCTTGACCAACCTGCTTAAGTGTGAACATCTTTGTTAATGATTTGTAATGTAGTAGTGAGTGAGTGGTATGAGATTCTTTAGAGCTGGCAGGTTTAGGAAAACATTTTACTGGGGCTATCACTTCGAGACTAAGGAGATGAAATGGTTGTCAATACTCGATGTGCTGAATTTACTACAATTGCAGATTCGAGAAGGAAGGATACAAGGTGTTGGCCAATGCCTAACTCGGGAGTTTCGAATGGTCTGTCATGTTATGGAAGGAAAGCTAAGCAAGGACTTCTTTGAGGTTCCCAGCTGAACTCAATACCATTTGCGTCCCTCTGACTGTGTTTCTCTCTCTTCCCCCTTTGCTCATTGACGTTTCATGTTTTCATGCAGGGGTGCAGGGCCATACTGTTAGACAAGGATAGGAACCCAAAGGTAAATGAAATGGCACAACACTCACCTCTATCTCCATATCCTCCATGAATAGATAATTTGTATGCTCATACTCAAAGTTACTCCAGTTCTGAATCAACTTGTCTTCAAACACTAGTGGGAACCTGCTAGATTGGAGCTCATAAGTGAGGGGATGGTTGAGCAGTACTTCTCAAGAATGGATGATGAAGAATGGGATGATCTAAAGCTTCCTTCTAGGTCCAATTTCGTTCTGCCAGGACACGCCATAGCAAAACTCTAAGCAAGGATTAGGAAATGGAATAATGAGGAAGGGGTATTAAATTAGCGAGCTGGAGATTCAGTTGAAAGTATATATACCCAGACATTTCTCTTTTGTTGCTTAAGTAGTCAGTCATGTACCCAGATTTGAGCAAACCTGTGGCAAAGAAATTTGCTGGAAGGTGTATATATTGTATTTCCTATAGGCTATAGCCATACAGGTGGTGAATAAGTGACAAACTAGACGTCAATAAGAGCAACCAATTCTCATATTATCCTACAAATGTGGTTATATATGATAATACATTTGTTTATTTGTTTTCGTTGAATAAGTAAACAGGAAAAATGAAATACACCCTTGTCTAGTTAGCTTATCGTCACCTGATGATACAATTTTGGCAGCAATGATAGTTTGTAGCAGCAGCAGCGTTGGTTTAAGTCCAGTCATCAGCTACACAACAACAGCAACAAAACAAAGCAAACTTCCTGCTTGCTACTCCAAGCAGTCTCACAATGCAAGCAGAAGAATAATCGGATTAGCTCAAGGGACGTTTCAGACTCTGTTGCCTATAAATTCATCTCAACTTGAAGCTACCAAAACAACACAACTACAGCATAGACTTGCAAATCAAGAGCAGCAACCAACCAAAAGAGAAAAATGGCATTCAGGGCAGCCATCGCATTATCAGCAGTTCTGGCTGCGTTTCTGGTGCTGGGTTGTGAAGGAGGTGGTGGAATATCAATCTACTGGGGACAGAATGGGAATGAAGGAACCTTGGCCGAGACTTGCGCCACAGGTAACTACCACTATGTCAACATAGCCTTTCTGTCATCATTTGGCAACGGACAGCCACCGGTGATCAACCTTGCAGGCCACTGTGATCCAACCAACAGCGGCTGCGCTGGTCTAACTTCCGACATCAAGTCGTGCCAAGCGAAAGGGATCAAGGTCTTGCTGTCAATCGGCGGAGGAGCTGGAGGCTACTCCCTTGCATCCACACAAGATGCAGAGCAGGTTGCAACTTATCTCTGGGACAACTTCTTCGGCGGTTCTTCCTCTGCCAGGCCACTTGGCCCTGCTGTGCTCGATGGGGTCGACTTCGACATCGAAGGAGGAACAAACCAGCACTGGGATGATCTGGCTAGGTCCCTGAAATCCCACGACGAAACGATCATACTGACAGCAGCTCCACAGTGCCCGTTCCCTGATGCTTGGATAGGGAGTGCACTTCAGAGTGGACTGTTTGACTATGTTTGGGTTCAATTCTACAACAACCCTCCTTGCCAGTACTCTTCTGGGAGTGTCACGAACCTTGAAGATGCTTGGAAGCAATGGACATCCGCCATTCCTGCTAAGAAGATCTTCCTGGGGCTGCCTGCTGCTCCTGATGCTGCTGGGAGCGGATTCATCCCCGTGAACGACCTCGAATCGCAGGTGCTACCTGCAATCAAGGACAGCTCCAAGTATGGTGGTGTGATGCTGTGGTCGAAGTTCTATGATGATCAAACTGGATACAGCAAATCCATCAAGAACTCTGTCTAAATTATGTGTTGAGTCATCCAGTCATCCAGTCATCCACTAATGTTCACTAGCATTATGCGTGAATAGTTTCTTGGAATGCACTACTACTCTGAATGTATTTATCGTATATTTCCACACTCTAATGTACAAAAATGTTTCCGTTTTGTTAATGGATTCATTATGCGTGAATAGTTTCTGGGAATGCACTACTACCTTGAATGTATTTATCGTATATTTCCACACTCTAATGTACAAAAATGTTTCGTGTTTTGTTAGTGGATTCATTTTTCTTTACATTTTGTTAGTTATTGCATTACCGGATGATTTCTTGTATATTATTGATATATACGACAAACTTAATACGATATTGGTTTAATTTCCTTATTTCTTATACTAGGTATGATATCGGATTAAGTTAAAATTCATAATTTTAAATTAAACAAGGTTTCTTATACTTCGTATGATTTTTTTTTTTGACAATTTATACTTCGTATGATATTGGTTTAATTTATTAGTGGTATGCCACAAAAAGAAGGCTTATTTTCAAAATAAGATACAACCTTTCACTTTATTAATAAATATAGCATAATCAACTAGTTTTTGACAAATTTATCGAATACCATCTACTCTCTTGACTGTCATTGCCGCGAATCTATCGTAGGAAGGTGAGTTTAACCAATGAAGGATGTAGATTGACATTGAATTATTAAAATGTTTCGAAAAATATATAGCAAAAGTTCGTATCAACCATTTTTATATGAATGTTGAAAACACATTTCACAATCCAAAAAATATATTATATTTGTTAAGATCACTCTTTTGTTGATCTTCTGTTACTTACACTCAAACATTGACAAGGTCTGTTATTTTTTACATTGAAAAAATTATTTCATGCTATATTTGTCAATCTCATAAACTATATGCTAGGCATAGTTAGTAAATCCTCGGCCTAATACACGTATATGTACCCGTACGTATTCTATCCATTTAATATTTCTGTATCCGTATTATTTTCAAGCTGTTTCATTTTTCCGTTCATTTAAAGACTCTCGTACTAATCACGTATAAAACATGTATATCACGTTTAATATCCGTACTTAATGAATTAAATAATTAACTTTACTATTATTTGTATATTTATTTATTTTATAAATAATGAATTTTATATATTTATGATTGTTGACGTACTATTAAACATAACTTTAGTTTAGAAACGAAGTAAAATATCCGTACGTATATTATATGTAATTTTCCCGTAACGTATTTTATTAACTATAATGAGGTTTTTTTTTGACATAATGAGGTATGTTGATATATTGAAAATTTATGTACTATGTTGGTATTATGCCCAAAAAGAAAGAAAGAAAATTCGTTGTAAAATTTCACCGGGAAAACTTGCTTCGGCATGGTGTACTTTTCGCCGAACAACAAAATTGTTCCTCCATACTTCTCTGTGGCCACATATAAGGGAACGACCAAAGTCACCCTGACCCAGTACCGCCATTAACGCGAAGCTCCCATCTTTGAGCTTTCTGGGCCATCTTCCGGCCGCTTCCCCAATGTGCAATTCAAGAAAAAGCACTGAAATCCGCCATTCTTCCAGAACCACCAAGCCGTCTTCTTCTTTCTCTTCTTCCTCTTCTTTCCCGAATCCTTCTTATTATAATTCAGCCACTCACTCCTCCAACTCCAGATCGAATTTCGACGCCTCCAAATCTTCCTCCTCCAGCAAAGCCTCTCTCGCCAGCCTCCGCGACTCTTTACCCGAAAACGCCACCATTTACGACGTATCTGAAATTTCTAGAGCTACCCACAATTTCTTGCTCAAGCCCTTCTCCTCTTCATCCACTTCCACCTCCTGGCGCTGCACGATTCGCGGCAGGGACGCCGTCCTTTTCCAGCGGAAGCTCCGCCGCGCAATTGAGTTGCCCGAATTGCAGCAAAGGTTATTGACGATATGCCGCAGTCACTACAGCAGCCTGGTTAAGCTTCTGGGCGCCACCATCTCCGGCAGGTACATCTATCTGGTCTATGACTACGTCCCTGGATCCAGTTTAGCTAATTGTCTCCGGAACCCTCAAAACCCGAGCTTCACGGTGCTCTCCACTTGGCTCTCCCGGATGCAGATCGCTACTGATGTAGCCCACGGCCTCGATTACGTCCACCATTGCTCAGGTCTGAATTTCGTGCATAATCATGTGAAGAGTTCGAGCATTTTGGTCACTGAGACGACTCTGAATGCGAAAATCTGCCATTTTGGAACTGCGGAGTTGTGTGGGGAGATAGATCATTCCGATCTTGAGTCAAAGCCGAAATCTAGTAGCAAATCGTCGGGAACTAGAAGGTCGAAAATAGAAGGAACCAGGGGATACATGGCGCCTGAGTTTCAGGCTAAAGGTGTGTTGACACAGAAATGTGATGTTTATGCATTTGGAGTTGTGATTCTGGAGCTGCTTTCTGGTTTGGAGGCGTTGAGGTATGAGTTTGATGAAGGCGGTGAAGGGGTTAGGAGAATCAGTGTTATTGAGATGGCTAGAGAGGCGGTGGCCGGTGGTGGTGCTGGGGTGAGGAGATGGGTTGATAGGAGGTTGAAGGATTCATATCCGGTGGATGTGGCGGAGAAGATGGTGTTGATGGCGTTGGAATGTGTGGAGGAGGATCCTGAGAAGCGACTGGATATGGAGAAGGTTGCTGTCAAGGTGTCTAAGTTGTACCTGGAATCAAAGAATTGGGCTGAGAGGATCTGCGTGCCAGCTGATTTCTCATCTTCATTGGCTCCCAGGTGATGCTAGTAGTTTAAAAGGTCCTGTAGGAGAATTTGTGTTTTTTTCTTCATTGTGTCATATAGAGCGTATAAATAGAAGTAAATACAGAATACCTATACCAGACAACACCCGCCGTATTAGTGACTCAAGTTAACTCAAACGATAGTTTTGAGATTGCAAAATTTTGTGCTGTAATTGAGGAATGCAACAGTATAAGAGGCAGTTTATAGTGCTGATTTGTTAGTTCATAAGCATCTTGCTTCGACTTGAGCCGGTCTGCTGAATAGAACTTGTCACAGCGCATTTCCCTGTTCGATTGCTGCATTGTTAGAGATACATAGATTTGAGCGTCGGCATGAGAATGAGTATATGTCGACGAGGAGCTCTGCTGGCTCAGTTGCTTAGTTTCAGTCACTTTGGTGAAGTGGACGTTTACCAGGTGAAGAAGCGGTCAGATTAGGCAACGTCTTGGCATTGTCCTTTTGTCTTGACATGTTTGTTTCTAGCGTTCAACAAGTTGATGTTAACTTCATGCACGTTTCACTGTTCTTTAATGGTTTCTCTAGTCCACCAATCTAGAATTCCTTCCCTCCTTCCTTCCCAATATGTAATTGGCTTGGTATGATTCCAACGCGTACCGTGGATCGGTTTCTAGCCTGCTGTCTGGATTTGATTATTTGGTAGGTCATTTTCTGATTTAGATGACAAGGAGATAGATCCCAGAATGTAATGGGTTGACGTTATCTAACCAGAACGGCAGAGTCGATCATTAAAGAAAGAAGAAGGATGGTTTGAGGGTGCAACACATATTATTGTCATACTTCCATATAGAATATTGGGTGAGCGACTACTTCCAGGTATGAGGATATTGTTTCTTATTTACAGTAGAAGCTGCATAATACTCAAATCTACAAAGTCAATGAAATGGCGTATATGTATGTGTGAAATGTATGCCTCCAGCTTTCCGGATTGGGTATATATATATATTCTGTGTGGTGATGGTGAAATGGTAGGAGGAATTCATTTGTTGCAGGCTCAATATTTTATCAGATGTCTGTTGACTTGGTACAGAAGTTTGTTGATTGGCTGTGCCTGTGTGGTTGCATTAGGTGGCCTGATATGCTTACAGTGTAGTATTGGGTCTAGCATGAGTTATCTATTCACTAATCTCAGTACAATAGCCCTTATATAATAATATTAGTGGAAAAAATCCTAATTTACACATGTTTTTAAAAAAAATTCTCAAAATACACACGTTATGAAAATAATTCCCAATCTACGTTAGTTTGGGCCATCACCGCTGTCGACGAAGACAGTGATTGCATCACTGTTGTCGACGAAGACAGTGATTGCATCACCGCTGTCGACGAAGACAGTGATTGCATCACCGCTGTCGACGAAGACAGTGATTGCATCACTGCAGTACACGGCCGCGGTGAAGGCCTGACCTGCGTCGAAACTTTAAACAAACGTAACTTTGTGCTCGGTTATCCGATCGTAGCGAATTTTTTTTTTATTCCGCATAATTTTTCGAGATCTTGCAAGCCGCAAATCGCCGTAGGTGGTTTGGTCCCGCCTTCGTCTCGAAAATATGTCGTTTGCTACCCCGAACGAGCCTTTCTTCGATTTCGTCAAACTTTGAACGACCATAACTTTGTGCTCCACAATCCGAAAATCATGAATTTTTTTTTATTTCGCATAACTTTTTAAGGGCTACAATTTTTATCATAGACATATTTTCGGAATGTACTTGGATTCCTGAAAAGGAAGGTAAAGTTATTCCCAAAACCCCTTATATCCATAAATAATTCATTTTTTGAAAATTCTCTCCTACTAAATATTGTAGTCCTTAAAAAGTTATGCGAAATAAAAAAAAATTCATGATTTTCGGATTGTGGAGCACAAAGTTATGGTCATTCAAAGTTTGACGAAATCGAAAAAAGGCTCGTTCGGGGTAGCAAACGACATATTTTCGAGACGAAGGCGGGACCAAACCACCTACGGCGATTTGCGGCTTGCAAGATCTCGAATAATTATGCGGAATCAAAAAAAAATTCGCTACGATCGGATAACCGAGCACAAAGTTACGTTTGTTTAAAGTTTCGACGCAGGTCAGGCCTTCACCGCGGCCGTGTACTGCAGTGATGCAATCACTGTCTTCGTCGACAGCGGTGATGCAATCACTGTCTTCGTCGACAGCGGTGATGCAATCACTGTCTTCGTCGACAACAGTGATGCAATCACTGTCTTCGTCGACAGCGGTGATGGCCCAAACTAACGTAGATTGGGAATTATTTTCATAACGTGTGTATTTTGAGAATTTTTTTTAAAAACATGTGTAAATTGGGATTTTTTCCAATATTAGTATCAACTAAGTCCGTACAACGAGTGACTCATTTTGTGTTTTCAAATGATAAGAGGAGTGTGAATTGAACACTGGTTTGTGTGTGCATCCAAGAAAAATAAAAGATAATACACAATTTGTTTTAGAAATGACGGACACCATTGTGTCTAATTCGTATTAGTAATAGCCTGATTCATGGTTACTTGAATGGTATGGGTCGGTAGCAGGCTACGTTGAGCATTCTCTTGAGCTTGTCTATTGATTTGAATCCATGCAAGTATACTATGAATAACTTCTTCGTTCCTCTGTTTCCGAATGGTCCATACCTAAACCTAAATCCACTCCATCCCCATTTTTCATTGGTCTATTCATATACTTAGGAATGGAATCTCTGACCAAGTCAAACCAAGAAATATCAGTTTTCCTGCAGTGTGCACTGAACCAGAGTTCTCTTCAACTGTCAACTTCCCATGCACGATATCATCTTGTGGAACAAAACTGATGACTCTTGTACGAGTGTGGAAGGATTGACATTTTGCATTGATAAGACTCATACCAGACATTTTATATCCTGTTGTCTTCCCAGCTAGAGCAGAGAGGAAGTTAGTCTTCCCAGCTCCTGATGGACCCATGACAGATGTATAATACACCCTGGCTTGATTTTCCCAGCTTCTTTGAATGAAGCCTCTCTTTTCTTGACTTGGTGGTTAGCAGTCCTGAGAAGGTGAGGTTCTTGTTTTCTTGCTGCATGACCCTTTCCCTCTCAAGTTGTGAATAAGCAGACCTAAAAATTTGGCTGTCTGTACTCACATCCTTCCCCTTGGGTTTATGATCCATTTCAGATGTTGAACTTGCATGACAGTCAGGCTCCATGTCAAGTTGATACATCAAATGGACACAATGAGACTATTCCTTTTTCTTTCCAATTTCTGGGGGTAAAGGAAGGCGATGGATATGCTATGGGTATGAATTATCATCTTCCATCAAATGTTCGAGAGAGCTGATGAACTTGAGAATTTTCATTTCCCTTCCCAAATGGTGGTGTACAGGATCCAGATGGATGTCGAACTCTTGATCGCCCAGTAAGATATTCATCACCATTATCTTCATCAATCTTGGCTTCCTTCAAAATCACAGGTAGCTCTGCTGGTGCAGAATGTTTCTTCCTGGAGATGTTTCAAAGAGCTGAGCCTGCAATCCACCAGCACCTTCTGCAGATTTCCATCTTTGACATGCTATCGCTGTTTCGCCAGCACTATTTGCTGCCAAGTCCTAACCTTGGAACAACTGCAACTGGGAGGATCTAACTCGGGTCTGGACATTTGTTGTGGAAGAACGACGGTGGCTGTTTCAGGCAGTCATAACTAACCAAGGCCTATGTGATGGCGGCTGGGATGGTGACGATAACAAGGTGCAGAAAGAAGGAAAAAAAAACATCTTTATCCCAAGTATAATCCTGCGATACTTCTATAAATTCCCCCCCTGCCTCTGCCACTGCCACAGCTGGATGTAGCCATCGATTCTACCTATAAGTTGTACAACTGATAATAAGCAACCACATTGTACGCGTACAGCATGGAAAATATCAAAATTCTCACGTCGATCTTCCCGCCCTCTAATTCCTTCTCGACAAACCCTATTTCGTCCTCCATAAATCACACTATGATTCTCAGAAACCAAACAGAGACAGACAGAAGAAACGAGGAGGAGGAAGAAGAAACCAAACAATGACCAGATTCAGATTAACCCCTCCTCCTCCTCTGCTTCTTCTTCTTCTTCTTCTTCCCCTCCTGATTTTCTCTGCAACTTCTCAACAACCCATCGAACAGAACCTGGAAAGAGACGCCATTTTCCAGCTGAAAGCCAGCTTGAACAACTCCTTCCTCAACACCAACTGGACCGGCCCACAGTGCCCTTCCGATGACTTCCCGGACAAATGGTCGGGAATCGAATGCAACGTTGACGGCCGAGTCACCGGCATTTCCTTACCGAGCATGGGCCTCGCCGGCCCATTAATCTCCCGCGGGTCCTTCCTCGCCTTCTCCGAACTCACCACCCTCGTGCTCCGCAACAACTCCTTAACGGGCCGGATCATGGACTTCAGCTCCAACCAGAAGATCCAACAAATCGACCTGTCACACAACAGACTCCACGGCCCAATCCCAGTTTCCATGGTCCGTCTCCTTTCCCTGCAATCTCTGCTCCTTCAAAACAACTTCCTCACGGGGACGATCCCGGCGTTTAACCAATCAACCCTCAATTCCTTCAATGTTTCCAATAACGACATCGCCGAAGCAATTCCGGCGACGGAGCGGCTCAAATCGTTCGGCGCAGACTCGTTCGCCAACAATCCGAAGCTCTGCGGGCCCCAGGCCTCGCACCCTTGCGTTTCCGTTACAGAGAATGAGACGGCGGGGGGAGGAGCAAGCACGGGATCGAAAAAGGGTTCTTCTCAAATGTCGAGCTTCGTGATCATGTTCTTGCTGTTCGATATTGCAGGGCTGATCGCCGTGATTCTGCTATTTGCGCTTTACTGCAAGAAAGCAAGAAGGTTGGAAAGAATGTATCAGAAAGACAGTACCGAGAAAGGAACGCCGGTGTCCACCAGTTTTGAAAGCGAGAGTACTGTAGAGATCCATCATCGTGAGCCCGATGATCATCATCCGAAAATTGAGACGGCGGCAGCGGTGGAGGTGGAGGTGGAGAAAGGGGAGAAATTAGTAGTGGGAACTCCGGTGAGAAGTGAAAAGGGGAAGCTGGTGTTTTTGCAGGGAGGCGAGGAAGAAGAAGCGAGATTTCAGTTGACCGACTTGTTGCAGGCTTCGGCGGAAGGGCTTGGGAAGGGAACCTTTGGAAACACTTACAGAGCGAAAATGGAGGGAGGATCTATAAGCAGTGTTGTGGTGAAGCGATTGAGGGATTTGAGGCCTTTGACTAGTGACGAATTGACGAAGCAGTTGCATTTCATTGGCGATCAGAAACATTCGAATCTGTTGCCGCCATTGGCTTACTACATTTCACAGGATGAGAAGCTTCTCGTCTCCAGATTTGCAGAGAATGGCAACCTCTTCAATCGCATTCACGGTAAGGCTCTTCTCTATTAAAAACTCTGTCTCGCAAAAATTTGCAAAATCAATCGCAAAAATGGCGTCTTTTTAACATGTTGTTGCCGCCCAAATTACAGGAGGAAGAGGGACGAAGGACAGAATCCCATTCCGGTGGAGCGCAAGGTTGACGGTGGCGCAAGGAGTAGCAAGGGGAATGGCGTATCTCCACCGTAACACCACCACCAAGGCGGCGGCAGAGAGCGGCGGAATCCCACACGGCAACCTTACATCAACAAACGTCCTCCTCGACGAAAACGAGCGGGCTCTCGTCGCCGATTACGGCTTCATCCCTCTATTAGCCGTCCCAATCGCACACCAGGCGATGATCTGCTACAGGTCGCCGGAGTACCAGAACTCCAAGAAGGTGTCCAGAAAGACGGACGTGTGGAGCTACGGAGGTCTTTTACTGGAGCTCCTCACCGGTAGGGTTTCGACCTACTCCGCGGAGAAGAACGGCGGCGGCGGCGGCGGCGGGGGTGGGAGAGTGGATCTGTGGAATTGGGTGTACCGGGCGGTGAGGGAGGAGTGGACGTGCGAGGTGCTGGATGCGGAGATCGGGGTGCAGAGGAATGGAGTCCCGGGAATGCTGAAGCTGCTGCAGCTTGCGATGAGGTGCTGCGAGAAGTCGCCGGAGAAGAGGCCGGAGATGGCGGAGGTGCTGAAGGAGGTGGAAGGGATTAAGGCCGTGGGTGAATCAGAGGACGAGGAAGATTTGTCGATGGAACAATCGCTGGAGGACGAATCCATCTCCACGACGACGACATCTGCCAATGGCGGATGATGACAACTAATTTAAGCTCCCCCGATTCTGTCAAATTTCCAGCATTGGGATTTCTTGCTTTCTGGTTTTTTGTTTTAGTCTTTATCATTTTTTTGTGTTGGTTTCCCAGTTTGATTTTATCGGATGTCTTTGGGCTTGGTATAAAAAGTGGATATATTTGGGCCGAGCAGATATCCGAAAAGCCCAAAAACCCCTGGAAAAACTTAGGGTTTGTGCTCCCCGAAATATGCTTGCATTTCAATTGCGACATCTGCGGCACGCGAAAATACAGGTACCTTTACAAGGAGTGGTACGAACACAGAGAATGCTGGGGTGCGATGCGATCCATAGTGGGTCAAGGGTTAACGGGTCACCCGTTTTAGCCCGCTTCAGCCCGAAAATATGAAAAGAGTCATTATATTGTACTTAATCCTGATAAATTATATCAAATTTCATCTAACATATGAGTAATAACATATAACATTACACCAAAGTAACATATCGCACTTAGATCCAACATATAGCGAAAATTCACACACACTTATATAACATCAATATTCAAATGTTCGACTAAAGATTCCAAAGATTGAGTTAGGCGAAAAGAAAATTCGGAAAATAGGCGCATTTCGCAAACCAAAGAAAAAAATGACATAATTTGACCTCCAACCCGATACATTGTAGCGGTCGACCCGACGGGTGCGTGCGGCCCGTTTTTCTCATCAGGTCAGGGTCAAAGTGGGTCGACCCGCGGGTTGACAACCTTGCTAGAGATAAAAGGGATAATTGATTAATTTACTCGTCGTTTCTCGCCGTCGTTTCGTACTGGTTCAGGTCTGCTTTTCGGGTTGGGCGTGATTGATTTCGCGAGGTCGGGTGTCATTCTAGGCGGAATCGCGGGTCTCTGGACGCTTTAATTGAAGGACCCAGGATCGGGCAGCGCTCGATGTTCCTAACTACGAACCCACAAAATCCCACACTAATTGAATGCGCTTAATTAGGTGGGTTTTGGCCATTACGATCAGGCCGTCGATCTACGGGACGCGGAAGATGACATCCTGGTGAAATTGACATGATATCATAGCAATCAAGATCATGATACACGAGATTTACGTGATTTACTCAACGATAATCATTAAGACTAATACACGGCACAAGTCAGAGTTTTTGGATATTAATGACGTAAAATCTACCTGAGTAACTCGACCATTTCATTTTCAACATATATACTTGGCTGAGCTACCTAAAGGGTTAATTACAATTTGGTACTTCTAACTTCCCTCGTAAATGTAAGTTGTGAATTTGTGTCCAAATTCAGTTCCACTCCTACTTAATATGTTATATTGTTATTCATCAAAATGAAGGCTCGGGAAATTACTATATTGTACCTGTTTTTTTTATAATTAGTAATAACAAAAAAATAGGGGGGCCAAGATAAAATCGCAAAATCTGGTCGGCAGAAAGCCAGAAAGGAAGTAGCTCGGTTTACCAAAAAAGAAAGAAAGGAAGTAGCTCGGGAAGAGATGACAGTCATCCTAACGAACAAAAGCAGGGAGAAGACGCCTTTTGGGAAGCTTGGTGTGTTCATCTGTCTCTGAAGGAGTGCGATTGAAACGAACTTTTGTGATAATAAATTGACTGACCGGCGATTTGACATGGCTCCTGCAACTATAATCTCGTCTTCTTCTTTCTTATCACCGTCTCTTGGGTACCTTTTCTCTGCAACCAACTCCAGGACCGGGTCGGTGGGTTTCCTCGCTTCTGCGCCCAAATTTCATGCGCCAAACCCTCTTACTGCAACTACAACCTCCATTTCTCTTTCAACCGTGCGGAAAACCTCCAGGAGGTTACTCCAAGGTAAGCTATTTCCTCCAAAATCAATCCCCATTTCGCCTTTCCAAGCCTGTGACATATTTGTAACGACGGTGACAGTATTGGGTTTGTTTCAATTTTGCGAATATTGGCCATTGTGGTGAGCAGGGTTGTTCATAATCTGGAAATTAGCATATCTTTTTATTGCGAAGTGAACTTTCGGGCATTGGAAACAATTACCGAATAAGCTGATTACTTCCTCTTCAAACGAGATAGTTGTTTTGTTGCGCAAAGAGAGCAAATTAGAATGACTTGTTGTTGAAGAGCTGTTGGTGTTGAATATTTGCATGTTGGCATGAATACTTTATGTGGACAACCAGGTTTAGTGAAACTGGTGCGCATTGTTGAATGATGGGGATGCCATCTATGCAAATCCCATGACGATACCATGCGTCTAATTTATACATGGTTTATACCGTTGTTTTTAGTGAGATCAGTGGCTGCTCCAGTAGAAGATGTGGCTGGGTTCAACGATATGGTCTCTGGAACTCAACGGAAGTACTACATGCTTGGTGGAAAGGGCGGTGTAGGAAAAACTAGCTGTGCTGCCTCACTTGCTGTGAAGTTTGCAAACAGTGGGCATCCTACTTTAGTCGTGTCAACAGATCCAGCACATTCTTTGAGTGATTCTTTTGCTCAGGTTTAACCTTCTTACGAGAACAATTGTCCGACTAGTCCTTGAAAGTAGTGTTCTGAATTCTGATTCCCTGGCTTTTTCTGTAATGCTGTTGTCTCAGGATTTAACTGGGGGTACACTAGTACAGGTCGAAGGACCTGATTGCCCACTTTTCGCTCTTGAGGTATTCAATCTTTCGTCCGTGGTAGCTTCCCCTGTCATCATGTTCTCCCTACAAGATACGAGATACTTACTTCAGTGAAGTTTTATGACTGTGGCTTCTGTTTGCTGATTTTATGCTTTACTGGCTTTGTGGATTTCTGGCAGCTGAATCCGGAGAAAGCCAGGGAAGAATTTCGTACTGCATCTCAACAGAATGGTGGAACCGGCGTTAAAGATTTTATGGAAGGCATGGGTCTTGGAATGCTTGTTGATCAGGTAATTGGGATTGAGACTGTCTGCTGCTCTGACAGCTTGAACATGCCAACTAGGCAGATACAAACAATCCAGCTCTTCCAGAATTTGTTTTTATGCATTAGTGCATCTGCAGAACAGATTCCTATGTTTTCTAACATGTTTATATGATCATGCCTTCGATGAACAAGTTAGGAGAGTTGAAACTGGGAGAGCTACTGGACACACCTCCTCCTGGTTTGGATGAAGCAATTGCGATTTCAAAAGTACGGGTTTCTCGCTTAGGCCATTTTGTTGATTGTCAAAGATGTCGTGTCTTTCATGCTTCCTTAATAGCAATAATCCTCTTGGCAGGTGATACAATTTCTCGAGTCAGAAGAATACAACATGTTTACCCGAATAGTTTTTGATACAGCACCAACGGTGAGCATCCAGAACACAAAAAAGCGATTTTTGTGGCTTGAATTCTTCCAAATAAATTAACTGCATCTCATCACTCATCACAGGGTCATACACTGCGGCTTCTATCGTTGCCTGACTTCCTAGACGCATCCATTGGGAAGATACTGAAGGTAGAAGTGCTAATCAACTGAAAGTGAAACCTGCATTCGTTTTCTTCCTATCATGTGATAAGACATCTGAATTGTTCAAGCAAACAAATCTATGTATCGTGAATCTTTCAGTCTTTGAGTCGTTCTTGTAGTTCTCTGTGATTGATCCCAAGCAATTTTGGCATCGCGTACCTCACAGCAAACATCCATGGATGGATAAAATGAGAAGGAAAAAGGAAGTTAATTCGTATATGTGTGCATTCCTCTTCAATCCTTATTGCAGCTTAGACAAAAGATATCTTCAGCTACATCTGCAATCAAATCTGTTTTCGGACAAGAAGAAAACCGACAGGATGCTGTAAGCCATGAATTCATGGGTAGCTGGTTTAGTTTTCCCTGGTTTGCTTTCAGGCTCCATCAAGACTCTCTATATCTCACGTTTTCATCTACTTTTGGTGTTTTGATTTTGGCATTTAGGCTGACAAGTTGGAGAAGCTAAGGGAAAGGATGATAAAAGTACGTGAACTGTTTCGGGATGTGGACTCCACTGAGTTTGTTATAGTCACAATTCCTACGGTAATGTTTGATTGATGCAGATAGATACTAACACAAAGTTTGATTGCATTTCCTCCCCAAGGTTGCTGATCTCTACGTCCTCTTGCCCTGTCCCTAGGTAATGGCTGTTAGTGAAGCATCTAGATTGCGCTCCTCCTTAGAGAAGGAGAATGTACCCGTTAAAAGGCTTATCGTAAATCAAATCCTTCCACCATCTGTTTCTGACTGCAAATTTTGTGCAATGAAAAGGAAGGTAATGAGGTTAAATTTCTTCTCGCTATGTTCACAAAGTCCAAGCTTCACTAGGTCCATGGTGCTGAGATAAGCTGTTACTTTCATTAACCCATTTCAGGATCAGATGCGTGCTCTTGATATGATCCAGGATGATCAAGAACTGTCTACCTTGAGATTGATCAAAGCTCCTCTGGTCGATGTAGAGATCAGAGGCGTTCCAGCCCTCAAGTTCATTGGTGACATCATATGGAAATGATCATAAGCAAAGAGTGCGAGCCTTGAATCGAACCATGAAATTGAAACATCAACCTATAGTAAGCAATTACAGGAAGAAAAGCTGAATGCTATCGTCACAGGCTGCAGAGAGTTTGTAGAGCTCGTACGATATTGATGTTTTAATTTCCGCATCAATGTGTACCGCTACACTTCATGTAGATAATGTTCAAGTTTCAAAATCTTAAGTTAGATGTTGATCATTAAAGCTCAAACAGGATACACCAGAGTAACTACAATATGGATTTACAATGTACACAGAGGGCTTGCTAGCTATCTGTTTTTTTTTTTTTTTGTTGTTGTCATGTGTAAGCTCCTACATATGTACAAAGAATATACTTCTCTGTTGGCGGAAAAAAGAGAAAAAGTAAATTCACACGAAATCACACCTTGGCTTCTAAATAAATGCTATCTATGAATCTTGATGCTTCATTGAATCGATCGAATGGCTAAAAAAATAACTCACCGCCTCCGGCCTAATGTCACCAAACCGAAGAATGCCACAATGCGACTGACTACACCAAAGAGGAGGAGGATGCATATACAAAGAAGCCAGTCATGGACACTGTAGCCGCTTTTCATCAGCGCACCACAGCGAGTAAGCAGCCATACTCCATCGTACCTATACGACCACAACAGAACATTATTAACTACTGGTGTCACTCGTGTCTAAGTTGTCAAAGATTCAGATACTGGGACATTCAGAAGTGAATCTTATTGTCAATCGTACCTCTCTGCATTAGCGATGACAAAAGCTTCTAGAGCCCATCTAGGGTAGCAGAAGTTAGATATGAACCTCAAGATATTGTTCGGTCGCTGCTGGGTTGCAACGAGAGTCAAAACCACAGGAAGAAGAACTGACCACTGCAGAAAATATAAGAGCTCATATGTCAAACTATAACGAACTAGCCATCTTTTGAGTTTGGAGATGTGAAATCATTCAATAATCACACTTACCAGCTGGGCAGGACCTGCTTCAAAAAATATGGCCAAAGCATAGGCTATGCCGGTGACACAATAGACAAGGCAAAGCAAAACAATGTAGTTATCGGCAAAGGTTGATCTTGGGTTGGTGAAGAAATAGAACATGGAGAGGTACACAACAGGCTTGATCACTGTACTGAAATGGTCGACTGTATCCTTAGCTAGAAAGTAAGCCAAACTGCTCATCCCAGAGGCACTCTCCCTCCAGTATTGTAGTCTGTCCAGAGAAAATGATCTCAAGGCTGCTATTTTGCAAAGGAGAGCTGACCAAATCCCCAACAGATATTATTAAGTTAGCGAAAGATGTATTGATGGGGTTGGGATTGAGAGAAAATTACAAGCTAAATCCTGCTTACAAACTGCAATTATTGTATGTGAGTATCCAGAAGCTCCCAAGTTTCTGTCATTGGCTTTTCCAAGCGATCCCAGGCAAGTTCCAGCAAGGAACAGTATGAGCAAGTCGACTGCTTGCATTTTGGCTTCCCGTAGTCGCTGTTTAAAGACCCTGAAAGATAATATTGTGAAGTCCAACATAAGCTTATTATCCACCTTACTTAAACATAATACTGCTGAAAGCAAATGATGGGACTTCAGTCCAATCTCGGTCAACAAATCGAGAACCATTTCATCCTAATAACTCAGCTATTGGGAGAGTGCCAAGATCCTGTACCATTTCCTGAAATAAAGTTTCAAGAAAGAATGCATACAATGAGGTGGTTACCTGCCAAGGTAGTATCTATACTGAAACCATACACCTGGGGTTCTTCGGTTTGACAAGTCTCTTGGCATCAAAAAATGATCATGTATCTTATCGCGCTGCAACTCCACATTACCCTTCACATCTTGCCATAACTCCCCAGCAAAAGACTGGTCCTCATCTCCATCACCAAGTTGCAACACACTGGGGTTTCTATTCATTTCAGGCATAACAATTTCTTGGGTATTATTATCTTGCATGTCGGGTGGAATTGGGTATCCGTTATTCAGCATCCATTTAAGAGGAAGGTTCATATAGTTCGCCATTGTGCTTGCACTGGCTGTGACAATGCCCTCTAATATGTCGATATAATGATCTGGAGGATTCACGCGGTCCGGGACATTAATCCCGAGGCCATTGAAGTACCCTTCAACTTTGGCAATCGGTCCATGGTACACAGTAAGTCCTCCTTTTGTAAGCAGTACGAGGTCGTCAAACATTTTGAACAGGTTATAGCTGCAGAACAGAAAAAAAGTGTCGTCATTAACTTTGAGATATTGTATGGTTTCAGACAATACATAATTTGTCTTGTATGAGCTAGGTACGAAATCCATGCATTTCAGACCCAAGTATTTACAGAATATACAACTTCAAATATTCTGGAAAAGTTGGTAACCCTCAAAGCTTTCAAGAATACATGCTTTTGGTGGCTCACCAGTCTTCTTTTATTTTTTTCTTCCACAATCCTTCGGTGGATAATACAGGAATTGTTGAAGTACATGGATTCTATAATGCAACGTAACAAAACGACCCTTTAGAATAACGGAATAACTGAATAATGATTTATATATGTTGTAAGTGGCCTTACCTTGGTTGATGAACAACCATGCATATATTGACACCTTCAAGAGCTTCGCGACGAAGTGCCCGAAGAAGCAACTGTGAGGATGCACTGTCCAGACCGGATGTGGGTTCATCCAAGAGTAAAAGGGATGGTTCCATAACCATTTCTAGTCCAACATTTACACGCTTCCTCTGTCCTCCAGAAATTCCTCGTTTTTCCACAGTCCCAACAACGGAGCTTCTTACCACCTCAAGTCCCAAAGATTCTATAGCTCTTTCAACAATTAAAACCTTTTCCGCCTTTGGCAAGTCAGCTGATAGCCTTCGAGAAAGCCAAGTGCTCATTATAAGATACAGAGGCAGCAAAAAGCAATGGAATCTCTAAATTAGTCAAACCAAGAAAAATCTGTTTACCTGCAGTGTGCACTGAACCAGAGGTTCTCTTCAACTGTCAAGTTCCCGTGCACGATATCATCTTGTGGAACAAAACCGATGATTCTCTTATATGAGTGGATGGATTGGCTTTTCCCATTGATGAGAATCATACCAGACATTTTGCATCCTGTTGTCTTACCAGCTAGAGCAGAGAGGAAAGTTGTCTTCCCGGCTCCTGATGGACCCATGACAGATGTAATACGCCCTGGCTTGATTTTGCCAGTCACACCCCTTAAAATGTGCTTCTTTTTGGTTTTTAAAGTCAAGGTCAGGTCTTTGAATGCAATCTCAATCAGAGGTCTTTTCTTGACTGCGTGGTTAGCAGCCATTGCAACTACTCCTGAGAAGGTGAGGTTCTTGTTTTGCTCTTGCATGGCCCTTTCCCTCTCAAGTTGTGAATAAGCATACCTAAAAATTTGGCTGTCTGTATTCAAATCCTTTGCCTTCGGTTTACGATCCACTTCTAATGTTGAACTTGCATGACTATCAGGCTCCATGTCATCTTGATACATCGAATGGACACGATGAGACTGTTCCCTTTTCTTTCCAGTTACTGGGGTAGAGGAGGCAGATGAATATGCAGTACTTAGTCGCGAAGGTGGATATGAATTATCATCTACATCAGATGTTTGAGGGAGCTGAGCCTGAGAATTTTCATTTCCCTTTCCATTTGGTGGTGTAGAGGATGCAGATGGATGTCGAATGCTTGATTGGGCAGTAACATGTTCATAATCATTGTCTTCATCAGTCTTGGCTTCATTCAGAATCATAGGTAGCTCTGCAGGTGCAGAAGACTTCTTCCTGGAAAATGTTTGAGAGAGCTGAGCCTGCAATCCACCAGCATGCTTTGCGGCAGCACCTTTTGCAGATTTCCATCTTTGACGTGCTTTTGCTGTTTCCCTAGCACTGTTTGCTGCTGCTTCCCTTGATTTTGCCAGTCTCCTCTCTCGAATGGCCAGAACTTGATCAGAGCAGTTGTAAATCATGAGCATCACAGTAATTAAAGCAACCTGTGTAGGAGCAAGAGATTGAAAGCATCTCTATTTGTATTAGCTTTCTCCATTCAGATAATCTTGGAATACAGCAAATATCTAATATGTAAAATAATTGTTAATTCTGTTACACACTAAAACTTACTATAACCATGACCCCATAAGCGTGAATATTTTGGGTTGTCGTTTTGGCATCACACGTTGTCAATTTGAAGCAACCTGCAGATAGAAATACCATCAATATATGACGAGGAACATGTACATAGTAAACATTCATTAGCTGAGCTAGTTGTGATTAGTAGTGATAGAAGAAAACTCTTACGTGTCTCAGATGTGGCACCCATTCTGCAATAATGTCTGAAGCACCAAGAGAACACATCAGTAAAAGGAAACTATTGCAGCTATTTCACAGTTTTGAATTTTCAGCAGAGAATGATAAGTAGGGAAGATTGAAACAAGCCTGGGTGAAAGAGTAATACCCACTACTGCAAGTTGTCTGCTCAATGGTAGTAGGACAGTATGACCCCGCCGGACAGAATATCTCACTGCTAGAGGCTATGTCGGTCCATTTGTTTGCACCCCCACAGGTATGGTTTGGTTTCCCTGGTGGTGGCTGATAATTATATCTGCAGATTAACATCCCAATTTCATACAGTTAACAGTCAGTCATTCTTCGATGAATAGGAGGGGTTGAAAGCAAGCAGACACTTACGGTTCACATACACCATTGGCCTTATTGAGGGTCGCCTGCGGGCAATAGGAACCCAATGGGCAAGCTTCACATCAATGAATGAAGTGTGAGAAATCAAGAGCCACAAACAACCGTATGATCGAGATAAAGCTCCATAAAATACTTACGTATCATGCAAGTAAGGCCATGAGGACAAAAGAAACCGTCGCAACATGACTGGCAGCTGCTAGTTCTAGCAGGAATATTGTGGGAGTTTTGAAGGTCAACTGGTTGAGTCCCATCAACACTGCAAGCCCATCCTGGCTCACAGCCAGAGACCCATGCCGTTAAATTGCAGTTCAAGTTAGGTTTTAGATAGTTGGGACCCGTAACTGCTGATGATTTATTCTGGGCGTGCTGGAATGAGCTGAACATGGTATCGAAGTAGAATTTCATTTCTGCTGCTGTACATATGCGCCGCATCATGTCTCCTGTTCAAACCCAAAACAGAATTAACCAGCTTGATATCTAATATAGCCTTCACTGAAACAGTATGGACTGACTAGTACTAGTGAGCTTTGACACCCATATATCGATCATTAACATACCGCCAGTCTGTAGAATGCAATTGGACAAGAAATCCAGATTGGACGAAAAATTGAAGGCTTGGTTCCAATCAGCATCCCTGAGAAAGAGGACAAATAACCCCCCCAGCAACACGTTACAACTGAGGCAAACGTCAAAGACTCGATCTTTTTTCAATTTTCAGCACAAGAAGACAAATGGAAATCACAACCAAAATCAATATTACTACACGGTTAGAAATGGCTGGAAAGGTCCGTCCCAAAATAAAGACAAACAGAAAAGAAGAATACAAGGGAGGACTTACGGGTCCTTCATGCAGAAGCTGGCCTGAGCGCCGAGAGCCCGAGTGATATTGGCAGTCATATTTGAAATCCTGTTATATGCATACTCGGCCATGAGCGGTCGAAGAGTTGGGTCGCCGGCAAATGCACTATAGTCGCCGTTCATATCTTGACACTCCCCCGAAAAGCTCAAAATAGCAACAACCCAAATCAGAATCAAGCAAGAAGAGCTCGAGAATCCGAGCTTCATTGACACCACCGTCCTCATCGAAGCACCAATTTTGGGAGCCGAGATGATAAAAGTAAGTTTAAGGAGAAATTGGGTTCAGTCAGCTATAAAAGGTGCTGCGAGGGAGAACCCAGAAGAAGTTTGAGAAAGCTGGGAAGGAGCTCTGACGCCGTCAAGCACGTCATTCTCTCACACTAAATTAATCTTATCCAAATTGCCCAGCCTTGAACACGGAAGTCTATGCAGAATGAACGAATCAAAGGGAAAGGCCAGATTGAAGTCAACAGAAGAAATCAATTAAACCCTTCTTCTTTTCTGAACAGGTAAACGCGGCAGTTGAGTGATTGCTTTCTCTGGAGATGATGATGGTCAGAAACAAGAGGAAGTAAACGGTGAGGAACGAATGGAAAGAACTGACGAGGGGAAGAAGGAAAGGGTGTTCTCCTTCTCCCCCATTAAAAAGGAGGGGGAGAATGGGACACTTAGGTAGAATTGAAGGGGTGGTGGCGGAAATGGGACCCGCGGCCGGCGAAGGTCTGGATCAAACGGCCGGCTGGCAGGGCAATGAAGGGGATATGTTGTTGTTCTGGTTTTTGAGCTTTGCTTCGCCATCGCGGCTATTTTTCCTAAATTTTGGTCGACAGTCGATTCGGTTCTTCGGTATCGTTGTGCGTTTTATGTTAAAGAATGTTTGATCGGATTCGCTCTTCCGTTGGACATTTACTAAGCAATAAAAAATCCGGTGTATTGGTCTGACATTTGGTGTTGGATATGGCTTGGCTCCAAGGACAGGTAGGATCGGATTGACTTTTGTCATTTTAAAGCAAGGAACTAAATTGTGATCATAAAAATCGTATATTGATATGCAAGCCAGATAAAGTAAACAAAATTTATGGAAAAAAATCATGTCGCCCGGTTTTATAAAGTTAAATTTGACATTTTTTAGTAATATTGGTCGATTTCAGCCATATTTCACCGGTATAATTATAGTCGCATATATTATTTTATTTTAATAACGGTGTTGTGTTGGTGTGTTGTCTATTGAATTAATGCTTCTTTTGGTACGATTTTACAAACCGTATTTTAAAGTCAACTAGTGTGAAAACACTCATTTCCAGTGGAATTCGGTTGTGTTGCTTCCATTATGCTAGAGCTTATAATGAAGTTTTTTCCCCTCCTCTTGCCAAAATGCGCAGCTGCAACCAAGGATTGGCTTTACAAGTAATGTGGAGATGGAAACATTCACAATTTTTTTGTTTTGAGTCTTGAGAACAATGTCCACTTTAAAAAATAGAGTTGCATCCTGCAATTAAAATTGTAACTACAAGTATCTCACCATCCCCAACCTAGTCGGTGTAAGAAATTCTTGTATTGATTAGATACGTGACAGGTATTGCGGTACGTATAACACTTGTAATGAAAATTATGAGGAGGGGCTTGATTTTGGCCTATATAACATCACTCATACCTGCCTTGTCAAGATTATTTCTACATATTTATAAAATTTTAGGGATCTCCTACAGTAACTTGGGTATAATTTTAAGTTAGGTAACTTGCATAGATCTAAACCGTTAAAATCGATCAAATTTATTTTAAACCATTGATTAAAAAAATAAAAAATAAGTAAAAAAAATCAATGGCAACATGGGTTGCCGGTGGCCACAAAGCAAGTTACCTTTCTTGTTTTTTTTCTTTCCTTTTTCATATTTATTTGTTTTTCCTTATTTTATCCTTTCCTTATTTTAATTCGGATTAAAGTAGAAGCGTTACGAAAGGCTTCCGTAATAACTTAGCACTTTACGTAACGTGAGATTAATACTCATTACGTAAAGAGACCTTCCATTACGTAAAGGTTACGGAACGATACTTATTTCTTACGTAACAGTGAAATCGAAAGCGTTACGTAAAGCTTCCGTAATCACTTAGCTTTTTACGTAACACGACATTAATACTCATTACGTAAAGAGACCTTCAATTACGTAAGGCTTCCGCAATGACATTTTACAACTGTTACGTAAAATACACATTCATTACGTAAAGCTTACGTAATGACTTAACATTTTACGTAACACGAGGTTAATACTCATTACGTAAAAAGACCTTCCATTACGTAAAGGTTACGGAATGACAGTTATTTCTTACGTAAAAGTTAAATCAGTAGGTTACGTAAGGCTTCCGTAATGACTTAGCATTTTACGTAACGCGAAATTAATACTCATTACGTAAAGACACATTCTATTACGTAAGACTTCCGTAATGATCTTTTACAACTGTTACGTAAGATTACCATATGTTACGTAACCGTTACGTAATACCTATTATATTTTACGTAATGCGACCTGTGAAACCTGCAATAGCAGGTAAAAAAATTCAAGTTACCTTACTTCAAGTTATTGTAGGAAATCCCTAAAATTTTATTAATGCATCTGTAATTTATCAATGAAACAAAGACTATTAACTAAATAAGATAAAAAGACCAAACTATAAAATACAACCCAAACTCAACCTTAATATCCTCGGTCTTCTTAAAACATCCCTTGGTGACTCGTTATTCTCATCCATTTCATCTCTTTTCTCTCTCGAGACCGGCCGAAGATGAAAGGAAGTGTTTGATACAACCACACCACTCATCTCCTCCACCTTGTAACAAAATTTACATATTTATTAAGCTTTGTCTCTAATTACAATGTTACATCCCCTTCCTTATACTTAGGTTAGAGTTAAACTAGATGAGTTTCATTACTCTGCCTCTGGTAATGGACTCTTAATCACTTGGGATAACTTGAATTCCGCAAATGACTCCTACGAGATAGATTTCACATTTTAATTATCAAAGCTTTCTTCTTGGAGGGCGCTAGGTAGGGGACTGAATCAAATCAAACAAATCAAAATCTGTCACTTGTCTGTATTATACTTAAGGTTAAACAAATACTGATTACACGCTTCCGTGGAGGGATTTTTCATACTTAAACATTTAGTTATCCGCTCCTCGGTTTTATGGTTGGTGAGCTAGAACAAATCCAGCTGCCGCGGATTGACCTGCCTCACATCATGGACTGCTCGTTCTTGCTGCTTTTCCGCATTCTTAATAAAGCTTTCATGGCGCCATAATAATGATAAAAACAGCTCAATCTGCATTAAAAATCATCATCACCTTCTCCAATGGCGCTTCTCCGTGATATTTTTTAACAAGGAAAAATTATAAGGAATTCCCCTTCATTCTCTGTTTCTTCTTCCTTAAATCCTTTTTGGGGCTAAACAAACAGGGGACTGGTGACCTGTCTCCATCGACTTCTCTTGGGGGGAAAAGTAGTAATTCTTCTTGGGTTGCTGCAAGAACCCAGCTTTATTACCTTTCGTTGATTTTGCTGTGGGAAAGGGGAATTTTTGTTCATTTCTGTTCCCTTCTCTTTCTTTTGTCTTTCTTTCTCCTGCGCCAGTGGCTATGAAGTGGTTCCATTATTTCTCGAGCAGAGAGAAGAAGAATGGAGGTGGAGGTGAAACAGCGTCGTCGCCACCAGCAGTCCCAAAATCGGTTTCAGGGCGCTCGAATTCTTCTTCGGTATCCATGTCGAATTCGACTGATCTTGACGTGAGAAGATCTGGGTCGGATTTCAATTCCCAGAATATGTCCGATTTCAGCACCGAATCTTCTGCCCAGAACTCGTTCGCCGTATTGTCTCAGAGGCGACAACAGCTGATACAGAGTAGTAACCTCCGCGTGTTCACATTCTCTGAGTTGAAGTCCGCCACCAAGAACTTCAGCAGATCGCTCATGGTTGGAGAAGGTGGGTTCGGCGGCGTCTACCGAGGGGTGATCAAGAGCGCGGAAGATCATGGGAAGAAGATTGACATTGCTGTCAAGCAGTTGAGCAGAAGAGGGCTCCAGGTAAAGAAGCTTTTCTTTGACCTTTCTTCCTTCTTCTTTTGAGTGCTGCTGCCCCAACTTGTATAATTATAAAAGGCTAAATCATTCCAGGACTTGATCAAGATTATCTCAATTAGGCCGCTAGAAAACAAATCCTCGTCCAGAATCTAGGCACGTTGGTTTTCTGATGTGTTCTTGCATTTTGGTTGCACACAGGGACATAAGGAATGGGTTACAGAAGTCAATGTGCTGGGAATTGTTGAACACGAAAATCTCGTCAAGCTGATCGGCTACTGTGCAGAAGACGATGAACGAGGCATCCAGCGACTATTGGTATACGAGTACATGCCCAACAGGAGCGTGCAGGATCACTTAACAAGTCGGTTTGAGACGCCTCTTTCCTGGGGAACAAGGATGAAAATTGCTCAGGATGCAGCCAGGGGATTAGCTTACCTACATGAAGGAATGGAGTTTCAGGTGAGCTTTCTTCAACCTTTTTTGGTTCCCGGTTAGCACTGTAAGGTTAATCACTAACAATTAGTTGGTGCTTCCCATCTGAATACTGTTGCAGATCATTTTCAGAGATTTCAAGTCATCTAACATTCTTCTGGATCAAGACTGGAATGCGAAGTTGTCAGATTTCGGGTTGGCTAGGTTGGGGCCTTCAGAGGGTGTGAGCCACGTTTCTACTGCAGTAAGTTTCAGGCTTACATGGGAACTTGAATTCCATCGTCCCTTTAACAATGTCGTACAGAGAAGTAACACAGTGGAAACCATCTTAATATTTTTGATTCAGGTTGTGGGGACAATTGGGTATGCAGCTCCTGAATACATTCAAACTGGACGTCTCACAGCAAAGAGTGATGTTTGGAGCTACGGTGTTTTCCTGTATGAACTCATCACAGGCAGGCGTCCTTTGGACAGGAACAAGCCGAAGAATGAACAAAAGCTGTTGGAATGGGTGAGGCAACACCTCTCTGATATGAGGAAATTCAGGCTCATTCTGGACCCGAAACTGGAAGGAAAGTACGATATCAAGTCTGCCCAGAGACTTGCTGCAGTGGCCAACAGATGCCTCATGAGACAGGCTAAAGCACGCCCCAAGATGAGTGAGGTTCTGGAGATGCTTAACAAAATCATGGATTCGGCACAACTTGGGACTAGTCCCCAACTCCCCATGAAGATGCTGAGAGATCCAGAATCTTCCAGACGAATTCCTCGTCTGAACTTCAGCATGAAGATGGGAGACAAGGGATGGTTCTGTTGGAGAATACAGAGACCAAAGTTTCTGAGAACATCACGAAAGGGAGTGAACTGATTATCATCCTAGTATTTTTGTTCAACTGACATGAATGGATGGGTTGTGTTTGTGGTGAGCGAGGCATTCGTACCTATCTCTTGTATGGGTATTCTTCTCTGCTTAAGGGGTGAGAACTGTAACTGTAAAGGGTTTGTTACCAACGTTTTGGAGAGCAGCAGAAGAGTTTTTCCCTTTGCTATTGCAGAAGTCTGGTTCCATAGCCAACTCTTTCATGCCCATTTATTATGTCAACGCTGGAATGTCTAACCAACCATAGTTTCCTCGGACTCGGAAGATGTTCAAGAGGACCTTAGCCTGTCAATCAGCTGAACCCTCTTACTTTTAGCCAAAGTCAACTCCCTCCAGCAACTATTCTGTCTGACGAATACTCTGTTCTTGCTTCTACACTTTTATAGTTACAATCCACATCAGACTCGGATTTCTCATGATCAACAGCCTCAACTTCATCATTAGTGCTTCTCCGCCTCTTCAAACTTGGGTTGGATTCCATCATCAATTCAACATACTTCTGCCTAACTATCGACAAAGGATGTCTCGCAATAGCCGATTCATCGCGAAAAGCCTCCTTTAGAATGGCTGTACGAGTCTTGTTCCTGAAAGACAAGTAAAAGATATGGGGATGCCTTTCAAACGCCTTGTGCACTTTCTGCGGCAAACCGAAATACTTCTTCAGGCACAAAAGCTTCTTTCTTTCAGCTGAATGCTCTACAAACAAACAAAGCAACTCATGAAGAAACCCCACAACCCTCTTCTCCGCAATATCACTGTCGGTATCCAAGTAGGAGTAATCCTCATATGGCGACACATATGGAAGTTTTTGATACTCAATGAGCCAATCAGCTATCTTCCTCTTAAGCCTCAAACCTTTAGATGGAAAGAGTGGGAACTCTAATGCCTCCATCGGTTCTCCTGAATAAACCCCTTGTTTCATGGCGTTCGTTTGCAGGACAGATAAAACTCTTCCTTGGCTCTCAACTGCTAAACCCTTCAGCCCACCTTCCAAATCCACTAATCTGAAAGACCCATCATCGAATCTCTGCAGATAATCATCAGGCAAACCTAAATACCAACCCATCCCTTGGATGATCTTCAAAGGTACTGCCTTTTCTTTACTCATCCAAATGAACTTCTTCAGTCTTTCCCTTATATCCCCTTTATGATCCTCAAGCACATTCATTTCCTCTCTATCAATCTCGGCTGCTTTCTGGGTCAACCTAAACCAAGGCAAATTATGCTGGGGGCCAACAAATTCCTCGAAGATTGATGGGTATTGCCTAAAAAACCTAGCCACTTTGATGTTCAGATCAAATTGCCGACCTTTCTTTGACACATCAGAGATGGGGATGCAACCACTGGGGTTCCGAGCTATGACGTTCTTCAGTGAAACAATGCGTTTCAGCTCCGTGGACTTGTGAATGTGCTCGATTGAATCGAAGTAGGGATCTTTCTTCCATTTCATGGTCACTTGAACATAGCTCTGAGTTTGCGTGTAAGAACATTGGAGATTTGGTGGGTAGGCATCGTTAGCTAGCGGAAATATGGGATTTAGGGAAGCGGAGATTAGGGTTTTGATGCATTTGGACTTGGGGTTTTTGAGGATCATATTCATATGGGTTGCAGAGAAATCAGATAGGAATCTAGAAAATCGGATGCTAGATAAGATCTTGGCGAGTTTGAAATTGGAGATGGTCGCTTGCAAAGCCGAGAGCTAACTGCCATAGGCACATCGTCGGCGGGAAACGGAAGTTAAGTGGCGGTGATGGGCCGTCGTACTGTGGTAGTTAGGTTTTGCGTTTGCATATCACGAAACTTTACTTTATAGAAGAGTTCGGAAAATTATGTTATAGTACCTCAAGAAATGGCTAAATTTCAAGTTTGGTCAATCATATTACATTTTATTATACGTTTGCCACTCAAATAATTTTTTCTTCAATTTAGTCATCGGCACTACAAATTTATGTCATCCTTGGTCACTCGCCGTTTAGTTTCGTTACATCAATCCTATGTGACAGTCAACATTTTATAAGCCAAACTCAAATTCTTTTTATCATTAAACTCATTTGGCGAGTCGAGCTCAAGCTTGCCTATTAAAACTCGTGTCAAACTCGAGTCGAATTTGAATTTGAAAACATATTAACAAGTCAAACTCGAACCAACACAAACTCGACTCAAAGCATTAACCGGCCTAATAGTGGGATTTAAGCAGGAAGGTTCTTGTAAATTGAAACCAGAAGAATGTGTTACTTGCTCTTTTTTTTTTTTTTTTTGCAGCCTCCTTTTGTTGAAGCATATCATATATGGCGGCAATTTGGGCCACAGCTACCGCCCACCGCAGAAACACGCCCACTTGTTCAGGTTTTGGGTGGCCGAATCGCCATGTGCATGTCCATGTCCGTAGACAAAAAGGATTTCTTTCTCCTCTGCTTCTTCCCTCATCATAAACAGCGCATTGCGTGCCCACTTTCCCTTCCCTCGTGTTCACCGCCTCTCCTTCCTCCGGGCAGCTGACCGGTAATTCCGTTTTGCCTTTCACGTCTTCACATTCTCCCCTGAACCTCGAATCCGAAACTGATAAAAAAGAAGAAAAACAGAGCCAGAACAAAAACGCCTGAATTCACCAATCCGACCCGTATACGGTAAGTAATCCGCCATCATCAATTCATTCTTTATAATCCCCCAACCTTTTCCCCATCTATAAATCAATACCCAATTGCCCAAAACCACGCCGGCCCTCTCTCTCTCTCTCTGTTCATCCCATCCTCTGTTTTTTTCCTTCTTCTTTCACAAATTGGACGGACATGCAAAAGCTCTGAAACTCCTCCATGGCGACTTTCCCATCAGCGGGAGACCACCACCACCTGGTGGCTGCTGTCCCCAAGGACATCCTCGTCGACGTCCTCGCGAGGGTAGCTTTCCAATCGCCGGCCGATCTCGTCAGCGCAAAGCTAACATGCAAGGCTCTGCTGGAAGCATCCGGCGAGGACTACATCTATCGCCACGTCACCATCGCCGAGTTCCCTGTTATCTCCTGGAAGAGCGACATTTCTGGCGTTTTGTTCATCGATCGATGTATTACCAGCGGCAACCCGGAAGCTCTGTTTCGCCGGGGGTTGATTGAGTACCTCAGCACCCTCGAAATTGATTCGGGGCTCCGGAATTTGGGATCTGCCGCAAGGTCGGGTCACCCGGAATCCGTCTACATCTATGGGGTTCTCATGGTTTGCCAGGGCCAGCAGGAGGAAGGGATAGCTCTGCTGCGGTCTCTCGAAGGAGGATCGCGGTGGCTGGAGATGGTGAGGTACTGTCGGAAGAGGGTCAGATCGGTAGTCATGGATATGTGGGTGAGGAATTTCACGATTTTGGCTGGTCCGGAGCAGAATCGAGGCAGGATTTGCAGTTGCAGGCAAGAGGGATTCGCCGTGCTGCCCTCGCCAGAGAGTATGGGTATAGGCAAAGAAGGGTGGGCGTCAAAGGAAGATGCGGAATTAGATTTCTACGCCATCAATCGGTGCCGATCATGTTTTTGGAACCATGAAGCGGCGGCTTTTTGCAGCATGTTGAGATTCGGCCGATTCTGGTTTTGAAGAGAATCATCTGGACCAAATTGTTCGGTGTTCTTTATTTGTACATCAACATCAGGCTATGTAAAGATAGATCACATTCACAAATATGCATATAGGACCCATGAAGGGAAACTGGATATTTTCACCCCTGTTTTGTGAATGGGAAATTTTATAATTATTTCAAGATTATGACTTGAGGCCAGAATAGATACAAAATGTGATATGAGTTTAAGGCTTGAGATTTGTTTCGTCGGAAATTCTTACTACTGAGAGGATTTGTGTTATATACTAATAATGACTATAAGGCCGATGGGCTGTTAATATTTACAGTGCAATCCAGATGAAAGAATGAAATGTAATTGATTAGTTAGTCGATATATGGACAAAATTGGGAGGGACTCTCCTGTAGGGAGATGAGAAGAGAGCAAGTTTTTCTTTTATCATATACAATGGAAGATTATCAAGGATCTGTCGAAAACCAACGGTAGCAACATTCTGTTTATGCCCCTATGAGGAAGGTAGCCTGCTTCATTTCCCATTGGCCATTGCTAATTGGAGAGTAGCTGCTTCCACCATTTCTTCTTCTTCTTTTCCTCGGCCAAGAACAACTCTGTAGAAAAATCAAAGTTCAGACAGAGGAAGAAGAATCTTTATTCAAGCATTGAAAAAATAGCTTGATTAGGAAAAGGAAGGAAGAGAACTTCCATGTCGTTTGTCAAAAGATTAAAGGGTAAACATATCCCTCACCTCCTTCAGGGTATATTGAGTTATAATGCACCTCTGCCCAGAAGCTCAAGAATATAACTGCAAAATATTGATAAATTAAAAGACAAAGCCAGCACCTTAGCTTAGTGAAGAAGCAGTTTCGAGGCGAGGATATGGATCTATTACATCATTATATACATGATTTTATGATTTTCCAACTCAAAGGGCCAACGTTGGGTCTAGATGAAGAGTCTCTACCCTAAATGAAGCTTGTAACATCAATGCAAGGGGAAACAAAAATCATAATTGTCTTTTCGAAGTTCTTACTGCGTTTGGACTTCTCGACATGGGGTGTGATCTCAATATAACATGTGTCCTTGAACGATGTAAGCACAAATATCTTCACTCCATACTGCAATTCCAGTGGAAACAGGTCACTTTCATCAACAGAAACAATAAATGATAGCACAGAAATCCCCCCCTACATTCACTATTCAGGAGAAAATCCAGAAGGAGAAAAAAGATATCCACAATGCAAGTGTGGATCCTGGATTCTTGCAGAATCCTATATCTAAGTGAAGGAAACTCAAGAAACTAACTAAGCAAACAACAGACTAACATACTGAATCTGCAGCAGCTTGCAGTGTGACATGATCACCCCATTCACCAGGCCTGTGTTTAATCAATGAAAAGCAAATAAATGTAAGCATGAATAGCTGATGGACAAAAAAAATATATCAAGAAGGAAGTACACATACTTGCACATGTTCTTCAGATAGTCGCTGTAAGCCATAGGAACATACCCCTCGTACATTTCTGAACAAGACCTCAGCTGGTCATGAAAGCAAGGTCAACAGCATCAGGCACACAAGTAGTAAGAAGGAGAAGGAAGACCACAGGAAAGCATAATTACACCAGCTCACCTGATCAACCACTCGGTGCCTGACAACTTTGTGGTACTCAGTAGAACGATAAAGTTGATCTGATAAAGCACGAAACTGAAAAACCATAGTGTTAATGAGATATCTGGGCATTAACTACCTGGGGGTTGAATTGTTTTTATACATAGCTTTTCAGTAAGAATACAAGGGATCGAACCTGACAGTTACCGTCTCCCTGAACCTTATTCTCAACGAGAAAATATACCTTCAACCTTAAAAAAGAAAGCAACAATGTCAGAGGTTTGCTAAGAAAGCAAGAGGCCAACTCGCAGGACGAGTCAGGCATAAGATACCAACAATTAATCCTGATCGAAGCATGGGCTTGGTTCTATAACAGAAACATAAACCTTTTGCATGTTCCAGTCACAACAGAACCTTAAGAACATAATTCAGTTCATCATCGTTTCTCAGTTACAGGCAAATACTTCTCTAGCACACAAACATCCAACTCTAACAGATGCACTAAATTGCAAGGCTATAACTTAAGAGGCAACACTGGAAGAAGAAGACACATAAGAGAGACAGACCTGTCTAGGAGTCTTTGGTGATCTGAAACCTCTTCATCCTGCGTTGGTATTTCTCCATTAATCTTAGGTAAATGCTGCACAGAAACAGATTTAAATTAGAATCCTACTGGGTGAATTTCAAAGCAAGCATTCTAGCTTTATCCTTCTTTCCCATTGAATCAACAAGGACACATATTAAACACAGTCCGAGAAGGGATAATTATACCACCAAAGGGGAAACAAAGACCACCAAAATGCAAGGACAAAATACTAGGACGGATCAATGTGAATTATGTAGATCATAAAGATGTCTGGGGAAAAAACTCGATATTTGGAGAATATATAATTATGAAACAGAAAGAACCAAAAACATGTTTTAACATTCATCACATGAGTTAACTTCATAAACTTATGCTTACAGGAACAGGAACCATCTTCTCATTGAATCTTTTGCCCACTTCACCATCAATAGCATACTCATCATACTCATCCGCTATGTTTAAATCAAATGGCATGTCTTCCACGCTAGGACGTTTTGCTTCATGGAAAGACGAAGAAACTGATATTTGCCCTTCATCACTGTCTTCTACTCTCTTATCACTAAAGCCATCTGCTTCGTTTTGTGTACAGTGGGGAACCCTATTTCTGATGTTATCATTATCTCCCATTCTCTGGCCATTCTCATGATCTACAAGTATAGCATATTATTACTAACATATCAGTAAAGACTATTTATTAAGGATCAGAAGACATAATAACTAACAACAATCATATGGAAACTCAAAGAACATCCCCTGCACCAAAACTCTCACCAATTCCTGAAGGACTAAACCAGTTCTGTGAAACAATGGACTCTTCTCCATTGCCAAGTCGACCAGATGCTTCAGCAGCAGCTATGCGAGAAAACTCTTCCTGCAGAGCACGTGCAATAACTGCATCGCTCTCTAAATTGTTGCTATATACTGGTTCGTTATAGCCCTCCCTTACGTAACCTACTTGGCTTTGGTCTGCTTCGTACTGAGTAACACCACTACATGAACCATTATTGCGAATTGAACAGACGTCGATCAGATTGTGAAGACCCCACCGAACAACATCAGGATCTTGTTCCTGAACAATCATAACTTCAGCTATCCAGTAAGCAGTAACCCACAGATATAGTCAGGCACAAAACCTCCGTCTTCTTTTCTTGCCCCAAAACAGGAAAACCACTAGGAAGAGGAAAGCCTGTAAAGAAGCCAGAGTTTAAAACGTGGAACAACCGTAGTACAAAAAAGAGAAGAAGTTTCAACACCGCAATAACAAAATGAGTAAAAAAAATACAATCTTTTTGTTTATACTAAAGGAAGAAGCTGAGTTCAGAGAGAACTAGGTCAATGGTCCTAAAATTCAAATTTGCGACCTTTCAGATAAAACAACAACCAAATTCCTCCCACTTGATAACTTCAGGATCAAACTGGTCACAAAAGCCTTCCTCCTCCACCAAACACCACAGAACAGAGCCCCAACCTCACCTATCGAAACCCTAAACACCCATTATTCGAGCTCCTTAAACCCTTGATCCAATCCGGGCACGACCCACAAATCAACACGCCAAGCAATCCAAAACCCATTTGCCAAAATCGAAATCACAAGCATCCAGAACCCCACAAGTAAAAGATAAATGATTACCTCTGACGTGCGAAGCATGCAAGAGGAAAGATCCCAAATCCAGAATGGCGAAAAGGGGAAAGCCTTTTCTGTGTATCCGACGCGTACGAATAGAAGGGCAGAGGAAAGACGCTTAAAGAAAAGAACTCCAAGCCGTAACGGAACCGAGCAGGCAGAATTTGAAAGATCGTCTGAATGGTTGGCGGAAGTTATGATAGATAGCGAGGACGAATTTTTTGTTTTATTTAATTACTTTTTCTCTTGCTCTTTCAAGTTGCGAGGAGAGGAGGAGAGGTTCGGTGTCCTGGTTAGGCGTCTTTTCTTGAAATTCGGTTTCCGTCTTATATGTCTATCCAAGCGGGGCGAGCAATAAACAAAAAAAAAACCCTGAACGTGCCGCTTTATTGCGTGGCACGCGGCGTTGTCGACACCGCCCGTGGTGGTGGGTCCAGTTTATCTGTACTAACGTCGTCAGGGCGTCGCCGGCGGCGGCTCCTGTTCCCGGGAAAATGACAATGTTCCCTGCGCCGACCTATTGTTGTCGGCGGTACAGTGTTCCGATTGTTGAAACTTGGAGAGCGGGGAATTTCTTAATTTATTCCGTTGCCTTGACCATAGGACTTCTGACGCCTGTATTCAAAAAAGGGGGGCAAGGCGATTGATTGTTTAGTTTAATGTAAAGTTTCCTTCTTTGGACTCATTCGTGAAGAAGAGGATTAGGTGGATGATTTCGGATCATCGTCGTCCATGTGCACGTCATACCATTCTTCCTTCAAAGATTAAAGTTTAGTTAAAACACGACAAGGGAGGGATGCTTCGAGAAATATTCCTGACTGTATATAGCCTATAAAATTCTAGTATTTCCGATAACTAAGCATCAATTGAACGTGTTAAGCTGTTTCGAATCTATCAGGTGCGACTCTGCTTTGCCATATTTTAACCTTACTCGAATCTCAATATGGAGCTTACCTTAATAACTGCTTAGCTTCCTACAGAAATTAAATGAAAGAGACAACACCCATAAAATAACTCAACCTTGCAAATAAAATGCTATCTCAAACTATTATAAATAGAATTGTCTTCTGGGGGATGAGGATGTCTCAACTCACTATATACCTTCTGAAGAAACCTGCACCTCTCTCCCATTTCTCCCATTTCTCAAGCTCTCCATATCCATTCTATCTCCATCATGAATCAAGATCCTCTGTTTCAGGAGCTCAAGAATATACACTGTAGTAAAGATTATTTCCAATGGAAAGGCATCCTTTCGATTTTTATTATGCCGAGCCTCTGCTAAAACTGCCATCTCTCTTATTTACAAATGTCTTCTATGTAGCAGGAAAAAATTACCAACATAATGATGCTATATATATGACGATGATGATGATGATATATGTGACATCGAGAAAAATCGATCACTTCCCATGTTAGCTGCTGTACTGTACAGATGTGCTGTGCCTTCCAGTTCTCTGATCTTATTTAAGCAGTACTGGTGGACGGTGGTGGGGTGGGCGACGAAGAAATTTGTGTTATTGTTATTTGTTGCCATCTCCAGATTGCCCCAGCGAGTTGTTATGTGGAGACTGACGCTGATAGTCCTATGCGCCTCTCTGGAATATGACAGATTCAAAACGATGAACAGAGATAACGGCGAAAGAAGAACAACTACACTTCACAGGTAACTAGAGAGGGGAAAGAAAGGGCAGTAGTAGGCTTTCTGTCTCACCTCCAGTTGTAATGAGCTTCTCAACACGGGAAACAATGTGTTTGCCGTATGTGTACCTCTTCAAGGCGTTCAAATGGACCTTGATTCGAGAGAGAATTAACTCGAGGCTCTGATCATCGCACGTCTCTAGAACCTTCTGGACCACGTAGTTCCCAAATGGGTCTTTCATCATGGCCTGCAATTTTCATAACCGCAGAAATTGGTTTTCAGACATCCAACAAGCCAAATTCCTGCACTCGCATTAATGTCCAACATGTCACAGGAAAACACCCTCCCGCCCAGAAGAATTCATGGGATGCAAGATAGACGGTTAAACAGAGAAATGACCCCCCAAATTGATTCAATACGTCAATGGATAGTTAGCACCTAAGAATGACACACTACAATTTACCAAATACATAGTTTTGCAAAGTTGTTAAGAAACATTTACTGAGTGTGGGAGGAACCGGACCTGCAAAGGCTCGTTTTCATCGGTTGAACCAAGCATCTCATTCACCAAAATTTGGCGCTCCTCAGGACCGCCAAAAGTTAAGCACTTTTCCACTACGTTCGAAGCAAATTTCTGTTGACTCATTTTGACGATTTGTCCTGCAAGCTTGCTGATGATGGCCGATCTTTCATGTGGTTTACCATGCTCAAGAACGTGCTAATAAGAACCAATTGGCATGAAGTCAGGGACGGTAACGACAATGTACTACTAGGAATTGCAATGCACATGCTTGCATGAGTTAAATGCATCAGAATATCTGCTAAGCTAGAAATAATTTTTGCTGACAAAACAAAAGAGGGCAATTCATTCAAGACGAAACCATAAAAACACCAGCAAAGTTTATGGACTCCTTTAAAACAGGAATGGACCTTTCCTCGGTGACATGAGAAAGTCCATGCATTTCAGAGAGCCCACAGAAGTACCTGAATAACATAATTTCCATATTGATCTTGTGCTAAGGTGCATACTGATTGCATGACTTCGTCCATAATAACTTGCTGCGTTTTTTCGTCCTTACAGTGCTCCAATACCCGCTGTTGCACATTAAAGAAAAAGATCAACATGTGAATCAACAATCAAGACAACGATGGAGGACAGAAGAGGTCAAAAGCTTGATGAACATAAAAACGCGATCTTAACCTGAATCACACGACAGCCATAAGGATGAGTTGAAAGCACCACAACTTGTCCATAAAATGAAGAGATAATAAACTGAATTTTGTCTTCAGGGACACACTCTATACACTTCTGGATAACATGATTACCATTCTGATCACGAACACATTTCATGATTGAACCATCCAGCTCTGCCACCATTTCAGTCTGCTGACCCATGTCAACCACTTCCAAGGCCTGTTGTCAGTGTTGAAACATTACTGCTTGGCATGGTAATAAAACGGATGATAGTAGTTTGCATCAGACATCAGAATAAAGTATATCAACTTTCAACAGTACAATTCTGCTAATTCACTCAGAACCACTGAGCATTTAGAATGAACCGTAAGGGAGGTGGACGAAAACATATGGTCATATCCACAATATATGGGTAAGTTGTTTGATGTGCATACTATCAGTTTCAATCAACATATTTCTTAGGTTTAAACCCCCAAGGATTAAGTAAATCGCATTAATAACATGAAATGCAAACTAAACAGATAAAATGTCAAGGTCAGCCAGCTAGCCTTTAAAGCAACACCAGATTCAAGACAATTTCAACTGGAAAGAGATATTGGCAGACCAAACTAGATAGAGTTTTAAACCAACATAAGAAGAATAACAGAACTAATTCACATAGGACAGATGGAGTTCCCAGGGAATACATGATTTTCAAACTAACGAAACTTTGAGAAGATCGTGTAATATCTTCAATCGAGTGTGCTTAGCAAAGGAATGCACAGAGACGTGCATGGACTTATGTTGTGCACCACATATGTCCAAATATTCTTGACACAGTTCGTACCTTCTGGATTACCCTGCATCCATACATCTGGAGGCTGAGAGGTAAGACATGACCAGTAAGCTGGCTAGCCAACTCCATCCTTTGGCCTTCAGTTCCATGCTCAAAGAACTGCACACAAAGATTACTTGGTAACTAATTGTACCAACTATATGGAAATCACTGGGTGTCATGCGTAAAAGGCACCTACTTTCTGAATAACATAATTCCCGAAGACATCCGTCATTAAGGTACGAGCATGAGGGATGATTTCAGGGAATATCTTGTTCTTCTCTTCAGTTGTAGCAGTTTCTAGTTTCTGCTGAATGAACCGACTGCCATACTGATCCGTACTGCGTGGTACAAAGGGAAAAATTATATATGATATTTTAAATGTTGCTGAAGCAAACCAAATTCCATATAATGCTTCTAAAGCACATACCTGAATTCGACAACGTGACCCACAATATCTAAGAGTTCAAAGGACCTGGTCTTGTTGTTCTTAAACTCGTCAAGTAAAGATGAGCTGTATCTCCTTTCACCAGTCCCACCAATATCAGAATGCCATGAACCTATAGAACCTCCCATTGAGTTTCTCATCATGGAAGCAAAGTGCGCAACTCGCTCATTGTGAAGATTTCCTGATGCAAGAGAAGGAAGAACAGAATTCCCCATTGAGTTCGCAGGATATGGTAGCCCAAGACCATATGCTGGATTCCTATAGTATGCTTGATTCGAAGTGCCAGCCTTACGAGAAAGTGGCAGATCATATTCTTGCTTCTGTTGAGCAAGCATCAGCTCAAGGTATGCTTTCTGAATATCAGTAAGGTCGCCGTGTGAAGTGCCTAAATAATTTCTAAACTGAGGACCACTTGAACCAGCTGATGTATGGTTTGAATAATCCGGCAACCTACGCAAGTACTGAGCATAATGCATATCTGTAGATGGAGAATGAAGATCAGACCCTACTTGACTCCCCAGTCTATTCAAACTCTGTGCAATTGTACTACCATCTAGAGCTGAACCTAAAGCAGAGAAAAGAAACATGAAGCTGTTTAGGAAGATTATATAACAGCATCAAATTGAAATAGAATGTATTTCTAAGGAAAGAGAAATAAATAAAATAAAATAAACTGTTAAATTCATACTTGGAATGTTCATATTCTGATGTCGAATATCTGCACCTTCCAAGCTTCCAAGACCTGAGGAACTTACATTTGAGTGCAGATTTGCAGAGGAAGAAGTTCTTTTAGGAATGCGAACTTCTCCATTTGAGTTTACAAAAGAACCATCGAAATTTGAGAGGACTCCTATTTTACTAGCCAGATTAATATATTCAGAAGATAATGGGAAATTCTCAGGATGCTGTAAACTTCGATTTTGACCATTGGAAATTTTGTGAAGCATATCTCCTGTTTGCCTATCAAGTTGAGCCCGGCCTTGTAAAACACTATCTTGATCTGTATGTTTGGAATGTGCAAGGCCTAAACCAGATAGCGCAGCTGTAATTTCACCCAAATCACTCAAGCCAGTCGAATGGCCATTTGGCAGACTTGAACCAACAGCAGAAATATTCTTCTCAACAGGGTTAACTCTGCTTCCTGCAGGAGGAAGACCAGGAGTTGGGGGTCTCCCAACCAACAGCTTCTGTTCTGGGGTTGTGCTTCTTGATAATGATGCACCCACAGCAGGTGAAAAAGAAT